TGCTATCAACCAATCAGCTTGTACCACCTCCCTTGCATCATTTCCTAAAATAGAAACTTGTTCACATGGCTTTTCCAATTTGCTTGTAGGGTACAAACAATCGATAAAACGGAAGTTTTGATTTTAGAAGTTGAAAAGAATCCAGTTTTGTTTGACAAAGCTGAAAAAACTTACAAAGAGACAGTAAAAAAGAAAGATATTTGGAAGGGAATCGGAGAGATGATTCCAAAATGACCATATGACGAAATTTTAGAGGCAATCCGCATTGGAAGCCGTCGACGGTTTTCCGCGTTCGTGTTCGCGCTCTATTTGAATGACTGAACTGATGAAAAGTCGCGTTCGCGCCGGTCGCGTTCGCGTTCGCGTTCGCGCTCTGTATAAACCCACCTTTACAGCATACTGTCAATAGGTCCTAACATCGATATGATACCATAGCTTTAGCTACTGTTTCTATGCTCAAAATGTCTTAGTGTACTCCAGGTAAGGCACAGTTTAAATCATTGCCACTGGTGTTACTTTTTGAATCAAATATTTAATGAACTAAACATTGGACAATTGGTCTGTTGAATTTTAGAACCTCGAAATATTGATTTGAAAACGAGTTCTCCAATTCCATGAAGCGAGTAATGTCCCTTGCATCACGATTTGTGGTACAAACAAATCTTCATCTTTTTTCTCGCACGATTCGATTAGGTAGATTAGCTATTTTGTGCATTTGTGAGCCAGGACGTTTAGGCTAATCGGTGCATTTGTGAGACAGTTTACCTAAACTGATTAGGCTAATCGGCCTAACCGTCCCAGTAGGTGGTTAGGCGATTCGATTAGGTGAGACTTCATTGGTAATTTATACTATTATATATACTAATTATATCAATGTTGTCTATATAGATGTCATTGGCTAATATTAATAGACAACCTTCTTTTGTTGACAGTGCAGTCAGCAATATTGCCTAATCGCTGCTATCAAATTTGTGGACCACTGCAAATCGTACCTAATTGTACTAGCAAATCGAAACCTCATCGAATCGGGTGACAAAAACGACTCTGAATACTGTAAGTAAAATATATACAAAATAAATTATTCGAATGTTGTGATAGAATTTAAAATTATGCATTAAGTTACTCTAAAAATCGAATCAGTATTTGTAGCAAACCTAAAAGATACCCCCTCTTAGAATGAACATGAAATTAAAGGTTTCAAACTTTGGCAGAGTATATATTCATCAGTGGACTTACAAAATTCGTGTATATCAGTAATTGCGTTTATTAATAATAAAATTACTTAGTTTAATGGGTGTTGCATTATAGTTATGACACCAAGTCCACTGATAATTAAAGACTCATTTTGGTCAAGATTAAAAATTATAATTTGCTAGGCGTCTCATTGATAAATTATATAAATATATGTATAGTCTAAAAAAATTAAATGAAATTTATGATATTAGGTCTATCGATCTACAACGAGAGGTTCGAAAGAGTTGAGTTTCTGAAGGGTTGTTGTAATTCTTTCAAATATAAATCGAGTTATGTCCCTTGAATTACTCATCCTGTACGGAGCAATTTATTATTTCATTCTAAATATTCAAAAAATACACAATTATTTATTGGTTTTTGATAAAAATTATAAAGACAAACAATAAATTATGCGTATGTTAAGACAAGTTTCGTGGTATTTTATGACGAATTATGTCCTCGGAATATTTAAATCTGGTATAGAGTGTCAAACTCGCCAAAGTATCGCATACAACATTGGCCACTTACACCTCGCTACTTGCGTATAGCTTATAATCAATGAAACCAATATTTTAAAATTTGACTAGAATTAGTAGAGTTTGAAGAAACAGGATATCGATATATTAAGCCAATATTCTATATTGATAGGCTTGTAGATTAACATGTAAAACCGTCATAGAATACATGTATTATTGTGCTTGATGACTGTACTAACATACCTCATACCTGATAGTTACAGATAATAATACGTGCTTTTACCAGCTTCTTACACCACATAGCCAATATTTCATCATGTATGTGTTGATATTAGAATGTCAGTGTTCATTGTTTCTAATTGAACTAAAACAGCTATTAAATTCAATGAAGCCAGACAAACTACACAGACGACTGGATCTATTAAGCAGCTTTTCCAAAACGATTTGGTACACAACATCACTACTGCACTAGCATCTGAAAATAATCAAAAAAGTCAGTTACTGATGTGAAATTATGTAATGTTTGCAATACCTGCCGACATTTCATAACTGCCAGTACCACTCTTTAGAGTAATATTTGACGTCTAGTTCGTTAATAATTAAATAAAGATTAATGCTGAAATGATTTAGAATGAGAAGAATTTTATCTTAATTGTTTCGAAATTTCTGTTTAATGCACCGTGTTAACAAAATAGGACGTAAAACTCCCATTCATTTCATATCTTAAATACAGTGAGACAAAAATAACACATGTTCATCAGGCTCCCCTGGTCATTTGGAAAATACCTCTGTCAATTAAAATTAACTTTCAGTATGTTTCATTACCTGCTAATTGATAAAGCTTTTCAGTGATTTTCTTTCTTTTTTCAAATGGAATAAGGTCAAGGTTATGTATGGTCTCTTTACTGACTTCTCTTATAGCATTCTCTAAACCAACATACTTCTCTAGATTTAACTAAAATCGTGAAATACAAGGCATTAAATCTGTCCTCCAATGATGGCAAAATCTAGTGATTCATTTTTGTTCATTTCGATTGGCTCTTGTGAAACAAATTTTTAGCAATTGCAAATGTAACTGACTGATTTGCTAGGTTTTACCATTGACATTCAAGGGTCAATTTTTTACAGGTTTTGTTATAGTATAAACATTTTTCATACCCTATAGTTACTGCAAGACCGAAAAATTCTCAAGTTTGACCAGAAAGGGACTTACTAGGTTTGACCATTGGAGGGCTGAAATGCTATATAAGTCAATTCATGAATAGGGCCGTGCTTGTGTCGACTCAACTAACAATGTCTGAAGAAATCATAATGAAGAATGAAAAAACTTCCATGGCATTGAAGTTGGTTGTTAAAGTAATAATAACTTAATCTGTGATAGGAATTAAGGATAATTTTCTTCAGGATTCAAACTGAGCATCCGCTTACTTCACAATCGACAACTACTCAAATTAAGCTCAGTTGATAATGAAAATTGTATCCCGGCAAAAAGTTTACAAACCTTAGAAATGCACCACATAGTTTTTAATTTACTGGTATTTTTAATGATGATAAATATACTGACTAGATGATACATTAACATTAGACACAATATCACAGCATTTATTATATTTACTTTATTACCATAATACATTCCAGTCTACAATATACACGTGTAATTAGAATAAAAATCTTAGTTAAACACAAACAGTACAACTAAAATATACCAAAATTTAAGTAATCTGAAATATACAAAGCTAATTTAAGTAAATCTAAACTAATCAAAATCCTCAGTAATTCTGATATACACAAGAAATTTCAGCAACTTTGAAATATACAACAAAATTTAGTAAAAATCTAAAATATCTACAACCAATATCAGTAAAACAGAACTGATTTCAGTAGATATTAATGTGCACAACTCAATTCGATTTAAAGTGCACATGATATAGTATCTAACTAATTTCTCGTAGACACCTTCCTCTCACTTTTCAAAAAGACAACCTAACCGTGTTCGACAATATTCTACAAGTGAAAATTGAATTTGATAAAACCGATGTGATAGACAACAGTTAAATTCCGTTTATCGAAAATAAAAAAAAAAAGGAATTCAACATGAAAACACACAAGTTTTACTTACTCCTATTGTCACAAATGGATATATTATCAACAAATACCAAAATGCACAGGATATGACGTCGCCGACTTTTGAATATCTGCCACCGGCTGGAAATATACGCCAAAATATTTTCCATTCTTTTGAATCGTTTATGCCATTTTCTTCCAACAGGTATCCCCCACAATGGATAAGAAAATTGTGACTCAGATATGGTCTGAAATGATTAAACAGTCAACTGGTATCAGGTATTCCGGAAGAGAGAACTAGCTATGGTGTAGTAGCAACAACCGTAATAGCATTACTCTTAGCAGTGTCCTCAAAATTTCCAGATGGACCAATGGACACCATAGTTATTATTGCTGCTTGTTGGTGACTTTCAACATTGCCTATCACGTGACTTGTTTTGAAATAATATTAAATATTAACTTAATTTAGACTATGTCGCAGATCACTATATAATAGTTGGACTCAATTATATAGCTTTATTGTCATTCAAGCCGTTGTTCAGTTTATTTTGGAGATTATGTAAAATCCAAGTAATTCATAATGTAGAACGGCAATGATGTGTATCTTTTAAATCTATATGAATAAATCAATTCACAGTCACAATTTAAATAAACGACTGTGTCATAAATTGGGACTGGAAATTCTAAAGAAAGGGTGGTAAAAAGGTCCCATGTCTTGCAAAAATCACGATTGAAACTGCTTGGTCCACTTTGCCCAGAACCCAAACGAAATCACCCTTCTATTTCACTTCGTAGACTAGCCAATAATGTGTATTATATCAATTAATATACTAACCCATTTAAATAGTTGTAAATTCTACAGGAATGTTTAGTTTGCAAATTACTTCCCCGTTTAATTTGATAATGTTCCATTTTCATTTACTTTAGACGAATCAGCACTGAAATATAGAAAATACTATCAGAATAGTATCCAATGGACACAGTAAGTTGTTGAAACGTTGCTTGAAGCTAAAATAGGATACCATAACACTGTAAAATAAGCACGCTTCACAAATGCACATTAATAGATTATTCATGGTATGAACTCTGAAATACGAGTCATATAAACACACTGTAGTCATATCTAAATATAATATACACAACATGTATGTATACAAATGAAATTTATTCACTTCATGATCGAGAGAATGAATGGGTGCTCCCAATTATTAAAAAGAAGTAGGCCTATATAGAAATGAAATTGCAGTCTTGTAAAAAAAAATAAATAAATAAATAAAAATCTGATTCAGTTACGTCAATGAATAAAGAAATGGTGACATTGTTAAATTCAGGAATATAATACAGACGGAAATAATTAATATATAAAATAACAAATGAACCTTTGGGTCACAAAAAACAATCAAAGGATGCACAAAGAAAGGATGAGCCTAATGGCCTTTGTAATATAATATAGACTATTTAATTTACGTCTTGAGTAAGTCTTGGTTAATTTACTTGAATAATTAAACGGATAAAATTTTCTCATAAATATAACATGATTGAAACAATTGAAAATCAGAAGTTAAAGCTGTGTGGACCAACATATTATTCAAAAAGAATTATGATTTTGTTGTTTGACATTTCTCAGGTTAAAGTTCAAACTCTTTTAATGTTAAAAGTAGTAGATCAAATTCATCGAAAATTTGCATGTTAATGATAAGAAATATTTAAGAAACTGAGGTAGGATTTATGAAAATTTGTCAACAAGCACAATAAAATACAATAAAGTTGATAATAATATAATAATATTGTCAGAATCAGGAAAATGAAATATCGTCACTTTTACCTTTACTTTTTAATGTTAACATAATATGTGTTGACATTTAACAGACGGTTAATGGTAGAAAATAATAAAAATCTTAAAGATTCATATCTTATATACATAATATTTGAAGCAATGATTTCCGCTATCCTTGGTTTAGGGTGGTAAAATGTCAATGAAAGGATATAGATCACAACAATATTAACGTTATCATTTAAAGATAAATTTATTTGATATAGGCTTAGTATGTATATGGAAGCTAATAGAGGTCATAATGTTTCACGTTGATAGATAAAGAGCATAGTATTCAAGCAGTTAGTGGACAATATGTGAAATTCAGATTACCACTTATGACGCATCTCATTATCACTTAGTAGAATTAATCTTTACCAGCCGTTACAACATCAAAACAAACTGCTGAAAGTCGTTTAATTGGTTTTCTAAACAGATTAGGTTTTCTTCGCCGTTTAAATAGATATTATGACATTAACATTATTATTTGCAGACAAACCGGAAGTACGAATCCTGCATCGTTCCACAAGTAGATTGCATTCAGCTTTATTTGCAAAGATAAGACTACATGATACCTTTAAGATACTCGTTCTGTCCTTATTTTGCTCCTATACAGGTGTAGTCTCAAGTCACAGCTTGATAGAGTATGTACTCGTGGTTCTGTGACTACTGGTTGATAATTGTGAATCACATGCGTGCTGCTATAGTTTAAATGTGTTCCAGCACCAAGTTGTACGATGTTCACCACTTCTCTGTTTGAACGAAAAGAATCGTTCACACCCTGGTGTAAACGTGACTTCTACTTTCATTTTTAAAACGCGCATGGCGGGAGGTTCCAAGTGACTAATTTATACTAAAAAGAAGAACACTTCAAGAAAATATTCATGAAAGATTATGAACTGAAACACTGGTAGAGTGTTCAACAAAAAAATATGCGAGAACGCGTGGGGCGACGAACATTAATCGTCCGTCATTTCCTGCAAGTGTATAGAAACGAAATTCCAAGAGTGTCTAAACCAGTGCTCCTCAAACTTTTTCGCCCTGTTCACCCCACCTCTAAATAATTATATTCACATTTATTGAATATCACTTTTTTACGAAAAATAAAATCTATTATTGATATCGTCAGATTTTGATAATGACTTTTTAGTGTGAGCCCTGACTGCTCAAGAGCTTGATCAAAGATTTAATGTCCGGCATCATTCTGGACAGTTTCAGACGCAGGTCTCCAGTTATGTCCATGCACTTTTTGGGCAAAACCCACATTCTACTAAAGATATGATGAAGTTATGGCAATAATAGCTTTTGAGCACAGGTAGCAGGTCTCGGGTATTTCTCAACCACTATAGGATGGAGCAACATTTGTTAACGTCTCATACTAATTCATTCCTTTTCTGGCCATTCACTCCGGTTTTTTTTTATTCACCCCTGATACTTTTTGCACCTCCGCCAAAGTCTTATTCGCTCCAAAGGGAGAATCTCAACCCCAGTCTAAACTGTTACCAGAGAGGGAATCGTCAGATGATGAACTATGAACTATATACCCTTCTGAAAGATATACATTCAGTCCCTTTTGTTGACAAAATTTAACACATTTCAAAAGTCTTACTATTCTACCTTTAACAACCTTATCGACCGAATTGCGCAAAGAGATAACGCTTTGTTGTCATATTTTTTACGGTATTTATGGCAGCAATAAAGCCAAACATATCCTGGGCGAGTATTACTCTAATATATGACAACTTACCTTGAAATTTCTTATTTCAACATAAACGTTCTCCAAATATTGTTTGTCCATTGCCTTAAACAGTTATCAAATAGTTAATAGTAGCGACTCGAACAGATTTAAGTTTTGAAGGACAAAATTGTCTTGTTGACATACAGATAATAAAACTTGTCGCCAAACCATAACAAGTTAATACTACTCTAATGTCTACCGTCATACACTAACGTTTTTAATATTTATAACCATTATTAATATGAAGCTATCCAAATAGAGCTATTAGCCAAGGTCCCATATACCAATATTCATTCATCCTCTTTCATTCCTCCCAAAAACTCCGATGGAGTCCTCCGATGCCTAGACTCCATATCATAACAACAAAACCATCAAAATTACTTTAATTGGATTCCACATCAGGCATGGACCAATAAAACTATCAAAATAGTCATTATTTATAGACATGGACTCCATATCATACCAATAAAACTATCAAAAAAAGCCATAATTATTAGACATGGACTCTATATCATACCAATAAAACTATCAAAATAGTCATTATTTATAGACATGGACTCCATATCATACCAATAAAACTATCAAAAAAGCCATAATTATTAGACATGGACTCTATATCATACCAATAAAACTATCAAAAAAGCCATTATTATTAGACATGGACTCTATATCATACCAATAAAACTATCAAAATAGCCATTATTATTAGACATGGACTCTATATCATACCAATAAAACTATCAAAATAGCTATTATTATTAGACATGGACTCTATATCATACCAATAAAACTATCAAAATAGCCATTATTATTAGACATGGACTCTATATCATACCAATAAAACTATCAAAATAACATTATCAGTTATGAACTCTATTACATAACAATGAAACTATCAAAATTCATGGATTCCACACCATAACACTTAAACTATCAAAATAACATTATCGGCTATGAACTCTATATCATACCAATAAAACTATCAAAATAACCAGGAAATTCGACGTCGAGGTGAAACGAAATGAAATTACTTATGGGAGTAGGGACAGTAATTCATACAGTGGTGTAACCTATTTTCGTTGATATAAGGATTCAACACCGAATTTCATCAAAGTTAAAAAAGCGATTTTTTTTTATGTCTTAGATGTTTCCTCAGATATTCTACAAAATAATCAAAATTGGTTTATTTCGATTTTCTTTATGAATCCTTCACTTTGACCCATATTTCATGAGCAACCAACTCGGCAACGGCGGCAAAATGCGTCACCTATTTTCGTGTACAATGTTTGATCTATCAATAAGTCTAGAAAAACACGTTGTATGGATACCGGATGGTATAATTAACTTCTTTTAGCATTTATCTTTGATATCAATTCATTATAACTAGTGACAATTCCTTCAAAGAACCAATATTTTAAAAAGAAAATAGTGACTGACAAAATAAGATACGTAGCGTGGTTTATTGCTAAAAGTCACTGAAACAACATAAGAATATAGTCTACTTTGTGTTCCATAGAAATTTTCTGCTGACACGAAATCAGCTAGTTGATCACGTGACTTCATTCGTTGGACTACATTCTAGCAGACGAAACTTGGAAATCCGATTACCGCTTGGGATTATAAAGAAATTCGGCCGATAAAAAAAAAGGTGACGTTTGGTATTAAGTGAAATCCGCCATTTTGTATTTGTCAAAGTATACATTAATACATTTTACCTTGCTTGAAACTACTGGATTCATTCTACTAGCTGATATTGTGCAGACAATCCATGTTTATCAAAACAAGCTAATGCGGAGGTCGCGCATGGTCGCTCCTGTAAATTATTAAACATTTCCGTAAATCCACGAAAAATAGGTTACCACGAAATTAGGTTACTTGACTGTGTATATAATTTTCAGACTGTCGGCGAGAACTGTACATAATTCCCGCCTGCTAGACGACTTTATAATTAGCCTACAGCCTTCAAAAAGAAACTAGGCTGTAAAATTACATTATTTCACGCTTTATAACAATTTCATTATAGGTGTATAAAGCCAATCATGTACATTACACATAGTATAACATAACATTACATACCAGAATTCATTCAAAACTGCATTGACTGTCAAATGTATTGACGGTTAGTGCACGTTCTATCATTCCATACCAAAATTAACTTCTTACATTTCCAAAAGAAAAACGGTATATCTAACCAGACAAAATCAGGTCAAACAGTAGACCGTGTGTAAAATGTAGACAATAGGTATTGTTATATTTATGTAGCCCAATAACTCCGTTCCCCTTCATTGCATTAAACTACATATACAATATTAATTTCCCCTGTGACTATCATTTCCAATATTCTATACTGGCTAACAGGTCCATGTGACTATCATTTCCAATATTCTATACTGTCTAACAGGTCCATGTGACTATCATTTCCAATATTCTATACTGTCTAACAGGTCCATGTGACTATCATTTCCAATATTCTATACTGTCTAACAGGTCCATGTGACTATCATTTCCAATATTCTATACTGTCTAACAGGTCCATGTGACTATCATTTCCAATATTCTATACTGGCTAACAAATCTGTGGCTATGTGACTGATATTCAAAAAAGAACCTTGTTGTTACCTTGAGTGGTAAAGGTTTTCAAGAAAATCAAGGAAGGAATAAGTCTAATATATCTTGGTAAAATAATTTACTGAAGAGTATATTTTTGTCATGATAAAAACTAAAGAACTATAAGAACAATATATTATTATGATTAAGATATAAGAATCTAAAATAGTATCAAATAATACTAGACGGGACAAAATACAATACATTCATATCTTTAATCATTACTGTTAGAAAGTGCCAAGAGCAATGCTTTATTGTTTAATCACTTCAGTTTCTTAACATCTGCTGGAGATAAATGCTTGAGTTCAATGATCATGAAACTTTTGTTTTTGATACAATTGCTTATAACTATCTCATTGCAATTGCAAAAATTGAGAATGCCCCCAATAAAGAGAGACCAGATTTGACATGCTCCCAACTACACAACAGTAAGTCCATAGATCCTTTCAGAAAGAGACCAATACTTTAAACATATATATTACTATTTTCTTACATTTATATATATATATACAATTGTACACTTGTTCTTATTTACATTGAAATTTACACAGGTACCTTTATCTCTTTTTAATATTATATCTCTTGAGATTCAGAATAAACCACAAATTGGCAAAAGTTGATTTGCTGATCACATCGGCAATTATACTACTCTTGATTGAAAATATCAAGATAATTTTTCATTTATCAGAAATATAATATTTTAAGTTCTATATAAATGTTGGTCAATACATGTTTTAAATGTATTTTACTTGAAACTTAAGTACACAATATAATTTCCAATGTAAACAAGAACACACATTGTTACTATGAACAATAATTAAAACAATACATTAATTATTAAAATAATCTACAAGATTTCCAGATCTTTTAAAACTATCTATACACAACAATTATTACAAAACAAAGATTTGCATGATTTTATGTTTAGCATATTTGTTCTTCATAAAAAATATACTACAGATTTTGACTGTAAATGGAAAGAGATAAATCGTGCAAGGCTGGATCTTTTATCACGAAGGAAATTGAGCTCCTTCATGCTATTGCTTTTTTTTCTTAGGACATATTGTGACCATAAAAGTTTAAAAGGTAATGCTGAACATCATTCATCGCATTGGAAGAATTCCACACATGCTGTTGAGCAAACAAAGTTCATTTTTTAGAAACCATCTCAATCTACTATAAAAATACACAAATATTTTTAGTTATGTCTTCAGTGGCACCAGACACAAGCACTTTTTCAAACTTTGTAACAAACGTTTAGTCATATTTTTTGGTTGAAGATCGTAAGGCTCTCATATCACAGTTCTAACTTGTCAAAGAGAGATAACTCTTGTCTCCGGTGAAAAATCGAAATTAGGAGCAAAGTGAAATCTCTACATCTAAGTGTGTAATACACCTGTCCTTATCAATAATACAAATTCAGAGTGAATCAAACAGTAACTGTGTTCTCTATTTTCCAAAAATAATTTAGTAGTCTTGAGCCATGATTAAGAAAGGTTTACATAACATCAGATATTGAACAAGTTTTGACATAATCAAAAGTTAAAGAAATATATAAACATTATTAATGATTTGAAGCATAAAGATATCAACATGTGAAAAGAAATTTGCAAATTCTAAAATTTGTTAGTGATTCTTTCCAGAAGAAACGCATATTTATTTCATGGCTTGAAAAAATTCACAATTTAAAAGCTTTGGTCATTTATTTTCATTTTCAATGTTTTTCTATAAAAAAGTGTTCTCTTATCGTTCAAATGTTTGTAGTAAACTTCCATTGCCATGTGCCATAAAATAAAATAAATATAAATATGTTCTGTTAAAAAATTGAATAGTAGTAATGACATAATTGATATAATATGGATTACAATTGAAGGTTACAAATTATTATAAATTCTGAATAAATTGTAATTAATAACAAAATATTTTTACTGTTAAAATAGTGCACAATACATCAACTATAGATTGATCTCGTAATTAAAATAGCTCTTTATCTTACAATTTAAAAATCTGTAAATACAATAAATCACAAAACCAGTCAGTCAACCCAGTGACACTTATTCCATTCCAATATAGACATCCATTATTGTACTTGTTCTTATTGGCTGTAATAATGTTCTTTTTTGATCAAATTGAAAATTGAACAATGCTGAACTAATTTGAATAGACAATGTGTCAAACGATTTTTCTGATTTGACTTTTCTTTTAAATTAACAATATAAAAGACTAATATTGTGTGCTATCATTCTGATTATGAGCAATATTATGTCTAAAAGCTTTGGCAAATGAGCTGCCAAGTAAAAACAATCTAGAGGTTATTAACAAGTAATAAAACAAATAGGTTTATAGATTAAAATACCGGTAAAAATTAATAAAACAAAAACTAATTCTGTAAGGCCTCATATCAAATCACACGACGATTTATAATAACATCTTCTACTTTCCAGTGTGGTTTATCATCGGATTGGTGGAGTTTTACTGCTACGAGTAAGAGGAACCGACCTGAAAATACACAACAATACCAATACTGAAAATAGATGAGACTTTTTATTTTCTAACTTTCTTTTAATTGAAAATAACATACTTTCTGGCACCCAAACATGAAATTTATTTAATAACAAATAAGTTCATGTATTTATCTATTCCCCACTCCTTGTAGTTCATGTAATTATTCTTTTAATTTTACGTATTTAGCCTGGTTTGTTTTCTTCCTTTTAATTCACAAATATTTTAACAACAGACATCAAATTGTATGTCAGTAATAAAACAATAGCAGATAAAAACATCAATTAAAGTGCCATTTGTGTTAATTGAAATTAATATGAAATGTTGGGCTCTGAAGTGAATGTACAATGAGATTTTGGGGATGTACAATAAAATGTTGGGCTATGAAGTGAATGTAGTACAATGAAATGTTGGGTAATAAAGTGAAGGTAAAATGAAATGTTAGGCTTTGACGTGAAGGTAATATGAAATGTTTGGCTATGAAATAAAGGTAATATGAAATGTCAGGCTTTGAAATAAAGGTAATATGAAATGTCGGGCTTTGAAGTGAAGGTAATTAATATGAAATGTTGGGCTTTGAAGTGAAGGTAATATGAAATGTTGGGCTTTGAAATGAAATTAATATGAAATGTTTGGCTAAGAAATGAAATTTCAGTAAAGGTGAAGTGAAGTGAAATGTCCGACTATAAGAGAGAATGAAATTAATATGCAAGTAAAATTACTTTATCATCACACATACTACAAAAAATATGCTTGATGCTAGAAATACATATCTTAACTGAAAGTACATTCAAATCAATTTCAGCAGAGATATGAATAACTTGCAACCAACACAATTTCATTAATGAAGGCTCATACAGTGCAAAAATTAAATGAAAAATAAACTTCATGAGTAAGTAAGGTCAATGAAAAAATAGGGAAACTAAAATTAAGCTCCTCTGCTCTAAGATTTACACGAACAGTTGGAGAACTAAGTATTTAAGTGATAAATGCAAGTGTAAATTTACAACAAAACATAACAAAAACTGGATATTTCAAATTTCTAAAACCATAACAAAGATAATATCATTAGCTTTATGGATCCTCCAAAAGGGATTTTAAATTACTGAACCCCTGCATGGTTTCAGGTCTTCTGGAAATCTATTGAAAAAGCCCAAACCAAAAATGAAAAGAAGGGTCCTAATCTTCTCAACAATTTACTAGTGAGATAACAGTCAATTGTTGACCATGTGAATGCATATATGATATCTAGTATTTCAATAAAAGATAAATTATAACATAATAAATAGGCCTACAATATTATATTTCAATGAAGATAAAGATAGCCTTGCAAAGCAGGATGACATACGCCCACCAGCGGGTTTGATTGCAAGTACAAATCATTGTTTGTAGCCTGTAGAGTGAGTGTGCATGCTACGTGTGGACATACAAAAATCCATAAAGAATTGATGCCTGTAGAGTGATACAAGTTACACAATGTAACTAATAGATTGAAAAGGCTCAGTCAGACACGATATTTTGATGACAAATTATCAGATCATCACGAAAATCAATAGGGATCATCTTCATGATGACATTGACCCACAAAATAAAATCAAAAGAATCTGTGAAGAATTGTAGCCTGTAGAGTGAGCACGAGCCAAATGTGAACGAACGAACTGACGGACAAACAAGACGATTAAAATATAGGACCACATTATAATGTGTCTTCATAATAATGTGGGCATATAAAAAGAGTAGAAGTTAATATTAGTAACACAATCAGAATAAAAGGTTGTCTGAAATGAAAGATTATTAATAAACACACAGTGAGGGTGCTAGTAACATTAAAGCTTCTATCTTAAATGACAGGGCTTCTTTAAAATATTCCTCTTGCTTGAATCTAACTAAAACCTGATATTAAAATAAATTTCAGAGTGACATCAAGTGATGTTGACAATTATTGAACCAGTTGTATTGAAATTAAATCTGAATAAAGTACTGCGGAGGACTACAAGAGCTAATTCCTGAACTGGTAGGTATGCTGGGTTCAAACTTATAACTAGTGTGATTTTCGCCCAAACAATAATTCTAATAATTTTCAAAGAACAGAAATTATCTAAATAAGATGACTTAATCTATGTTCAGATAATACTAGCAAGAAAAATACCAAGTGCACAAATTAGAAGCCATATCATATTGTTAACTTACAGAGTATCCCGAGCGTAAATGATACTTATATGGCCAAGAAGCCGTATAATCAACTACACTACTATAAATATCTGAAGATCCTGAATATCTATTCCGAGAAGAGTATCCATAATCATATCGATGATCTAGTTTGGTTGAGCTGCTAGCCAGAAAAATATAAAATACACACATTACTTAAGACATTCAAGACATAACAGCATTCCTTATTACCTTCAGACACATTCAGGCTAGTTTTTGTTTAATTGCAGTAAGATCTTGAGAGGAACAGTGTCATAATGGATGTTGGTAATATCATTAGGATAATATGTGAAAAGATTTTGGTTCATCTTGTACTGTGAAAATGCTCTTCAAAGAGCGTAAGTCAAATGTAGAATTTTTGAAACAGAATATTATATGACACTGACAATGGTAAATGCTGTTCTGAATATTGAAATCCCAGATCAGCTTGTTTGTCAGTTTTCTTTAATTAGTGGATCATTAACAATTATTTTTGTTGGCACTTTGAAAGCCTTGAAGCTTATAAGGTCATTTGACCAAGAGTATATCATGAGCCATCCAGAGGATATCTCAGGACATTCTTAAATTTCGTCACCATTTTGCTTTTTTTTATGTGAACATTCACTGATCTCTAGCTGTAAATGTTATAAGAAACAGTTTCTTGACAAGAACATGCTACCAACCATCCATCAAAGTAAACTTGCAAGGTAGTGTTTGTCATCTCAAGTTCTAATATTTCTAAACTAAAAGAAGGACTTATAAATTAGTAAAAACATAATAATTAACTAAATAGTGACATGCTGATGTGAGAGAGTTAAAACAATACTAAATAGACTAATATAACAATCTTACAGCATCATTATGCGTATGTAATCTTGACTACAGTCTTGATTAACCACATTCTAATAATGGAAACTTCCTTCCTTAAAACACTGACAACTACGTAGCCCCTAAGGCGCAATTGTAAACATATTTATTAATTAATTCGTTTAAACGAAATAATAAATAAATATGTTTACAATTGCGCCTTAGGGGCTCCGTAGACAACAGTGTCAGTTGCCGAATTTTGGATTCAGAGAGGCTTCCAAATCCAGTCTTTTTTTTCTAAATAAATGTCTTAAGTCCTGCACTCTACCCAATTTGAAATAGTATTCTATATATATTATTACAATTTTACAACAAAAAATTTTAATATATTTCCAATAGAAATTTGAACATCTCAAGTCACCACTGTCTGACAACTGAAGAAACTACTTCAAAGTGCGATCATAAAACATCAATGTCATCTGCTTCAAATATTATATGACACCAAAAACAGTGTTCAAAAGGCACATTTTGTTAAGAGGTTTGATATTTCAAATTGCACAGACAATTGGCAGTAAGAAAGAAATTTTTAGCACTGTCAATATCATTAAATTGATTTCCCATTGTTTTAACTTAGTGCAATTTTAAAAGGGATAGAAAGTAAATAATCTTAAAAACAACAAGGGCTAATTTTCATTTAACCCAAGAGAAAATTGAATGGTGAAGATTATATTACTGTGGAACATAATTCAAAAATGATTATAAAGGGGAAGTAACAATGATCATTCCTAAATAATAAATACACAGCCTGTATAAAAATACATCTAAAATATAAACTGATCACACTAAAAGCAAATTATTGGGGGAACTGAATGTGTTTAATTAAGGATACTGAAGAAATGAAAGGCCACTACACACAATACAATATATCTTTACCTAGAATTATTGCTTTTCCTTAGACTATAGGATTGATGTTTTCTACAAATGAAACATGATCAAAATAACCTTAATGTCAATGATGTTAACCTAAAAGGGGTATGAGTCTGAACATTAATTCTGTCAAAGCTGGCACCCAGTTGGTTAGTTCTGTCTGTTTTAATTCTGGCTTCACTAAAATGGTATGTTATCCCTTTTATCTCCGTCTACAATTTCTTTCCGCACAGGTTGCGTGAAACCTGTTCCAATATTTTTTATTAAACTTTCGGTTGATTCCATGAGTCCTGGATGTGCAGAACTCACCGATAGAGCGCCCCCATAATATGTTGGTCATGAGTTTTGCTCTCACTAAGTACCCGGTAAATGAAATTTTCATTTTAAGTAAATGAATTTTGATAATTTAAAAATACCATTGCCAAGACGTTTGACAAAATTTGTTTAATTAATGCTTTAATATCGAGTATTATTACTATTATTTTAATAAAACATGTGCTTTGTGCATGTTATTTTTTAATTAATAGTAGTAATCAAATTTTTAATGTTAAATATTCTGCACTGAGATAATTTATGACAAGTCTAATATGGTACATGCAAATTTTAGCAAAGAAATACTTTTTCAAATCTTTTACAATCCAATACACAAATGGCATAATACCTATCATTGGAATTGTTTATCAAAATTCAGTGCAGATGACAATGTATATGGATGCTTACCTCTTGGCACTAGGAGATGAACCAGGTGAAACTCTGGTACTACGTTTGTGTGTACTAGTATTTGCCTGGTTGTGGGCAAGCACTGAAGACGAAACTTTCGATGTTTTCACAGGCGATGAAACACCTTGCGCACTCTTTGAACCAGATGATCTCATGGGCCCTGTAGTTGATCGTTTATGAGATTTCATATCATCACCACTGGAAATTGAAATTAACACAAAACATTAAAGAAACCATAGAAATCTAAACTTAACTTTAATTAGATAAAGGTAACCATTTCTCAGTAAGAGAAAGTCAAGTGACCTTATCGAAATCGTCTTGCCACATTATTCCAGTTGACACTGCTGTGCAAGGATTTTAAAATAATTCTCAAAATATCAATGTGACAAGGTTTAGCTTAGACCAGCAAGAAGACAGAACCCTTAATAAATAAGTTGTCATCACTGCATAAGGTATATCTTTCAATCTTAGGCATCAAATTTTCTTACAAGATAAAGTAAATAGATAACATACCCAACAGTACCAGTGGTAGCTGATCTAATATGTTTTCTCATCATTTTAATCTGGTTTAACTTATCACCTTGAGTTTCTATGATAGAACTTCTAGTTATTGGACCAGAATAAATCTACAATATAAAACAGAAGATGTCAAGATTGGTTTAAACTTTCAATGGATCAAGTTTTGGGCTACTACAAAATTAGTTACCACTACTTTTCAATCTAACTAATATTATCTAGTGAACTTAGTATAGTATGAGTGCTTCCAACTTTTGGCTTGAATTTACTGTCTTATCTATCTAACACTAACTGTGTTGGCATTGATATTTGTAGACCAGTGTCAACTAAATTGGAATAACATAGTATAAAACCATCTAGTAATAATGTTAATGAACCACAGACATATGACTGAAAGTTGGAATATGCAAATCGTTGCTATCCCTTATCATTCAGTTTAAATAACCTTATTACAATCCTATTAAACTACATAAATTTACACATCTGATAAACTTTTTTTAAATAAATCAAAACATACCATATCAGTATAATTACTGTAATATTGATCATTCTCTTGTCCATCATGTAACCTCATATCATCTACACCACTTAATAACTTAGAGACACAACCTTGTCTTTCTATACCTCGTGATCTATCTTTCTGTTTAGCTCTATATAGATCTCCTTGCATCCATAACCATGCCTGTTTTCTACAATTTATACAATTTAGTTATTTTTAGAACATGGTTTTTGAGATGATTAGACTGAAAAATTAGATGGTTTTGATCTAAAAGTGAATCAGTAAAAAGAGGATGTGTAATGTTCATCATCAAATGAATTATTATGCATGAAAATGTAAGCTTACTCACTGACACAAATTGAATAGCAATGGACTTAAGAGATTTCTTTCAAATTGTAAGAAAGATAGACAGTTAATCAGTAGAAGATACTTACTCCTCTAAAAAATGTTGTTGAGGACCAATAACTGAACCTGGTCTACAGATTCTATTCCATGCAATACATTCCCCTGCAGTCATTTTATAATGCTTCATTATATATGCACATATTAATGAGCCTGTTCTACCAAGACCAGCTAAAACAGAGAACAATATTAATTTTAACAGCAGATCAATTTTTATTAATTATGTTTAAGTTTATGATGCCAAACCAGATTGCCATTTTCAAAGGAATGAAAGACTCAATGAGAAGCTTATGTTTCGTGAAGGCATATTGAAACAATTTTGTTTCAATAAACTTACAAAATCATGATTTCCATATTTACATATATCCCCCGATGATTTCATTCTGAACAGGGACAAAATCTTACCTTTACAATGAATTGCAATGGCACCATCACAGTTTTCTGCTAATTCTAAGAACTGTCTGACAATGTTATCACTAGGTACACTGCCATCAATAAAGAATAAATCAGTATGATCAAAGCCTGCATCAGTGAACCTTCTAGCATCATATATCTTTTTATTTAACCGTACTATATGTGTAACATTGTGTTTACGGAAATATGGAAAGTAAGCTTCTGGTGCATGTAAAGGATAACCTAAAAAAATAATGATCATTAAATTATTGTGACAACCAGCTATTTAAAACACAAAAACATTTCACAAATACTTTAACAAAATAACATGAGACCAAAGGAATTGTGTATTTATATAACATTTTAGAATAAACAAAACACATTTAGATTGACACATATGATACATATAATTTTTGAATAATAAATGCTTTTGTTTATGAAAATCTTTTCTCTAAAAGTTTAATAAATACTAATACTAATTTGAAAATGATAAAAGAAAGAGAGCTATTTTACTGAAAAGTAATACTATATAAAGTATCAACTTAAGAGAGAAAAGTTGACATCAAATAGTTATATTTGCTGAAAAACTGTCAAACAAGAGCCATGAGGTCTGATAAAGTTAAAGACTCTAGCGTAAAGAATTCTTCAGATTTGTTCTCTATAAAAATAACTACAACCACTAGGAAATTGTAAAACAGCAGTAAAAATAAAATAAAAGAAACAAATCTGTTTTTGGATTATTTTTTATTATCATTGAGGAAGATAGCTTGCGTTGCAAGGTAACATACGCCCACTGGCAGCTGTCAGAAATAATAAAACAGTCTTTAGTGACTAAAGTACGAATTTTCTCATATTGAAGAAATTATTCATGCTGAATAATTCCACAAAATTTTTTAAACTCAATATCAATAACCCAAATACAACAAACAATTAAATCACACAGCTCTAATCAAGGGCAAAAAACAACTTTTGACGTGTGTTTACAAAGTCAAGCGCAATAACTGAAAAAATGTTCATCAAAAATATCTCTTGTTAGAACTTGTCCGAGATCTTATCAATTCCAATGATCACACCAAGTTTCATCAGAAAACTTTTGCTTCTATTGTGCTCACAAACAAATTTTAACGCGTTTTTCGTAAGTGAATGGCATTAACTCAAAAACATTTCGAAAATGCGTCAAGTTAGAACTTGTCCGAGATCTTATCAATTCCAATGATCAAACCAAGTTTCATCAGAATCGGTTGAAAACTGTAGCTTCAATCCTGATCACGAACTATTTTTAGCAAATTTCGACGCATTTTAACAATGTCAAGGGCAATAACTCAAAAACCGTTCATCAAAAATGCGTCAAGTTAGAACTTGTCCGAGATCTTATCAATTCCAATGATCAAACCAAGTTTCATCAGAATCGGTTGAAAACTGTAGCTTCAAATCCTGCTCACGAACTATTTTTAACAAATTTTGGATGAATGGTGAATGGCATTAACTCAAAAACATTTCGAAAATGCGTCAAGTTAGAACTTGTACAAGATCTTATCAATTCCAATGATCACAACAAGTTTCATCAGAATCGGTTGAAAACTGTAGCTTCAAATCCTGCTCACGAACTATTTTTAACAAATTTTGACGCGTTTGTACAAAGTAAAGGGCAATAACTCAAAAACCTTTCATCAAAAATGCGTCAAGTTAGAACTTGTCCGAGATCTTATCAATTCCAATGATCACACCAAGTTTCATCAGAATCGGTTGAAAACTGTAGCTTCAATCCTGCTCACGAACTATTTTTAACAAATTTCAAGGCTTTCTAAGTCAAGGGCAATATCTCAAAGACCGTTCATCGAAAATATGTCAAATTCGAAATTGACCGAGATCTTATCAATCTAAAGCATCACACCAAGTTTTATCAAAATCAGATAAAAACTGTAGTCTCTATAGTGCTCACAAGAAATGTTGACGGACGGACGGACCGACGGACAGGGGCGACGACAATATACGACCACATATTCATGTGGGCGTATAAAAATAAAATAAAAATTGTAAAATAAACTACTAATTTTACTACAGAAGTTTTTTTATTTCATACCACTGTCAAGCCGAGTTTTAGGGTGAGGCCCACTAAAGGCTATAAACTTTCCTGGTAGAATCCAGTTCAAATCACCATTTTCAACACGCTAAGAATAACAAATATCATGCAAAGAACAAATAAACAAAGTATATCTCACACTCACTTCAGAGAGAATGCGATATCTCTTCAGACTTGAACTACCTTTTTTACATCTGACTTGATTTTGGTGATTTTTATTCTATCATTTCTCTGACAATTTGATTCAAAATCAAGATTGTGAATGCATTTCAACTTATATTTTGGTTTGATTTTATGGCACATCTATGGCTGATGTTGCTATTAATATAGGTATTGCTGGTTGCTATCCTCAACACTCAATTCAAAATGTTTATTTTTATTATTCCAAGGTTAATAAAAATATTTTGAACCAAGCCTTAATTTAAATTGCCACACACTTTGAAGTATACATAAAGTCATGTACAAAATAAACACAAACAGTTTAATGTAATTCAGTGGTAAACCCACTATTGTCAAGTCTGACATATATAGAAGGTAGTTCAAGGTATTTTTTCAGGTTATATCAACAAATCTGACATTCTTGATTATGTTTGTAAATAATGGAAAACTCAAGCCCAGAGATTTTTTTATGTTAAAAGTAAATATCACTTTTGTTACATTTTCACTGTTAATTAGAAGATCACACTTGATAAAGTACTGTATAATTTATGTGAAAACAGGTTTGTTTATAAATCTGTAAACACTGTACCAGGATATAGTATATTTCAATGTCAACTTAATGACTTGGTTTCCAGAATAAATCTTTATCATTACTGTACTTATTTTCAGTCTAATTCAATTGTCTTATAAACACTAACCAAAATTATCAAAATCATTGACATAACCTAAAGAAAACTGGAGAAATACATGCAATATAATCAGACCCCTGTTGAAACAAATTTTAACAAATACATCATAAAATATTTTCACAGCAGGGGTCTTTTTCAGGCATCTAAAAACAATTACCATTTTCTATCTTGGATTTGGCATGAGGACCACAAAAAGCCAAGAATTTATTTGGTACTATCCAATTAAAATCTCCATTTTCAACTTTCTGTAAATATACTTGTGGGTTAACAAGAACATAAGATAAATGAGAGTACAAAATCCTGACTGGCTTCATTTGAATAAAGCACTGGTTATAGATGATAACATTTCAATTTGTAATGCATTATTCAACTAATGACTAATACAGCTGGAAGCTTTATCAGTTACTTCTGCAATTAATAAGACAATTAATATGCCTTGACTTTTTATTTTTCAAAGACTACAGTTCATACTTCTTCAAAGTCAAAAGTAACAAAAGAATTACCTCATAATGCTCATATTCATCTACATCAAAATTTTCAAAATCAAAAAATCCATTTGCTAAGGCCTGGAATAGAATTCAGAATTCAATATTTTAGAATTAACATTCATATCCTATGGTAACATACTCAAACCATTCAAATTCACATTCCATAGAATTATAATACTAGAAATATTTGCCCTAAAAGTATCCCATGATTATTGGACTTCATAGCTTACTCTGTTACACTGCAATCATTCATTAAAATTTGTCTTCTAATTCAGTTGAAATTCATATCTTACCCTACTAATTGCTTGTAAACAATCTAATAATGTTAAATTATATGTACAAGGACCAAAGGAAGCATCTCTGAAATATAAGAAAAGAATATATATTCCCCTTCATCAGGATATCAAATGTTACTTGTTATTTTTTTTTAAAATTTGGAATATCATTTTTAAAACATTACTGAAAGTCTTAGAATGATAATAATATCAAACAACCAGCAGAGATTATCATTTTGGACTAAAAATTGTTTTTTTTTTTAATTTCTAGAAGGGAAGTGTGTTGTACTAAACATAATGTCATTCTAAGACTATCAGTAAGATTATGTACTGTTTGTTACGCTCATATTTAATTCAATTTATATAATTTAACAGTACAAACCAAGACAGTACTTTCCAGTCGCGTCTAACTGACACTAAAAACAGTGGCCTTGAAATATGGACCTTAAATTTCACATTTTAATTAGAGGATACCTCAACAAAAAATGCAAAGGGATGACATACACTGTTTAACAGAATTGACAGTTTAATTGTTTATGTAAATATAATAATTAAACTTTTTGATATTTCGTATCCTCATCTTCTTAGGTGATAATTCAATTTATCTATGACTGAAATCAAAACTGTAATTTCAAAATGAATATTGAATATTGATAAAGTATAGTTCATGGCCTATTGTTAAAAAGAACAAGATTTATAACTTTTTGGATCATTAAATCATAAATAAATGAAAATCAATTATCAAAACTTTTCATCGAAACGTCCAAATTAAAGGAAAAGGAATTTATGAGCAATAGTTGACTAGTTTGAATTTAAACTGAGTTTACTGAGAAACCTGTGACTGTGACCTTGGGTTAACTTATCTTTAAGAGATCCCACAGGTATTAAAATAGTTTTAACAGCTGACTGATTACTATTCATCATATTACTTTAACTGTACTCAATACAACCTATGACTTCTTCCTGGTGGGCATAAATATCCACTAACTTTGGTCAGTTTGTTCCTGATTAGTTTTCATTTTGGAAATTGTAACCAAATGCCTATGCCAGCTACTTCAATAAGATTTTTTACCCACTGATACTATAGTGTGAGGAAAAATAATCCAAATATACATACATCCATTGTACATAAATGGATTTGTGTCTTCCTGTCAAGTAGACTTTGAAAGTGAAAGTATGACAGATCAAAATAATTCCTTAAAAAAAAGAACTTCAAAACTGATCTACTTGCAAAAGTGACAGATAATTTATTGTTAGTCAAAAGGGCATTTATAAAGTTGGATGTATTTATTTCTGTTCTTAGATTCGATATGATTCAAATCTGACAACTTTTCATCAAAGTATTTTTTTTCTCTGCAATTCATTAACTGACATGTTGATTATTGTTTAAGTTTCTACTCTACCTCAACTGTGTAGTTTACTATAAATAAGATGTCAACATACTTGACCTACCTTACATATAGCAACAATGTATTTAAATTGGGTGACCTTGAATAGACTTACCAGACCATTGGACATATTGAAATGTTAAATCTATTACCTTACTTATTATATATAAATTCATGGTTTTACATTACAGGGACAATTTTGCCATCCGTTTGATCAATCATAGGTTTAGAAAAGTGGATTTTTTAGCTGAGTTTAAGCTAAGAAGCTAATAGTGTTCAAACACAACGTTAAGCCTTACAAATTTTAGCCTTCAAATCAATGTGTATAGAGAATTAGAGTTAGAAAATTAAAATGTTATTGAGTTAAATTATATTAATCCTCTAATATGTTATTGAGACTATGCCATATACAAAAGACATAAAGAAAGAGAAATCCAAGTTTAAGATATTTTAAAGGAAAAATGGGATTTTCGTATATTTCTATTAGTAGTATTTCTGAGGACTCAAATCAACCTCTGAAAATGGTTTAATATCAAACTAAAAATGGTGAAATATTAAGTCTGCTAACTTTATATTTCAAAAAATGAATACATGTGCATAATTAACATCACAAAAACCTGTCTTGAACCTAAGGTCATTTAAACACATGACACAACATAAATCATAAAACAGACATTTAACCAGGAAATAAATCAACTGGTTTTTCTTTTTAAAGGATGTAACATGTCATATTACTTCAGATTCTATACTATATATAAAAAAAATCATAGAAAAGGGCAACTTTCAAGTTAGATCCATTAGAGATCATTGAAGTAATCTATAAGATCTAGAAGACTAGAGACATTTAAATATATACTGTCCTTATTTTGATTAAGATATTTTCTTTCTTGGAGCAATGCCAGTATTTAGAATAATTGTTTATTTTAATATTCATTGCTGAATAAATCTTATTTCTGGTCAACATATTGGAGCTATCATAGAAACGCTATCGACAATTTCATAGGGTTATAAAAAAAAATTTTTATGACAAAATTGTAATATATTTTCAACTCCCCGGTACATTTAACACAATTATATAGTTGAATTTTAAAAGCATATTATGTATTTAAAAAATTTAAAGACAAATAAACAAAGGCATCTTATGCTCAATTATGTGCTTACCAGTAAATGTTAAAACAAGAAACACATGTCTTACATTGCCCTCACAAAGATCATAAAGTTATTCATATCTTAAGGAATAATCCATAAAAGATTAATCCCTCACCAATACTTTAAGCTTCATTATATCATAATAGTGAGACAATCCTACTTATACCCAAAGTTCATTAGTTATTATTATTAAACTTAACCATTTATATAGAGTCTCACTCATCTTTTAACAAAATGTAATCATTTTGGTACAATATCAATCTATGCCAAATAACAGAATGTAAGCATGATCATGCTGCTATATTAGATATACTTCAATGATACCATATAGATAAACTGGTCGCTATAAAACATGGTCTACATGTTTAAATTAACAACGATGAATACTTGTAGACTTTACGAACTGTTCACTTTAGAAAAATAACCGGTCCGACTGCAATAATGGTCTATATAATTAGAAATTGGGTTAATGACTGATTCTAGTTATTTGTAGGATAGGTCAGTTATAATGGACTGGAAATTGTTACAAGTTCTAACTGATCAATATAATTATTGCTTTAATTATTGTGATAATGAAGCTGTCAATGATAATGACAGAACTCAGAATTTAGCACTTTAATTATTCTTAAATGAAAAGGATTTAACGAAGGTACAAATAACAATGTAGTAGGAATCAGGTTGATTTGTTTAGTATTATTGATATTATGACATTTTACTGAAATTCTCAAAGTGAGATATTGATTTATGAATGAAAAGCACCACTTGCCATATGTAGTGCAATAAAAACCAATATTTACTACTACTTTTCTGAATTAAATTTGAACTGATGTAATTTTTTAACATATTATTGTAACTCTATAAACCCCACAAATTCAAAATAAATTTTGACTAGGACCGGTAGTGTTCAAGTCAGAAAACTGATTGACTTCACTGTTATACAATATTTTTTGTAGTAATTTTTACAGACAGGTGTAATTTGTGACTAAGAAGAGTAATATAACGCTTTTGTTATTCAATTTTGGAAGTTTCCTGTTAGAGTGCTGTCAACTATTTTGCGTATCTAACAAACATTAATTAAGGTTGACTCATAAGGAAAAGACACAGCAAAAATTTTCATCGGAACAGTTTTATAGAATACATTTGAATAATTAAATCACGATTCCGTTTACACGGTATCATGCAATTTGATTAGATAACAGTGGTCACATGCATTCGGTTTATATTTGAGTAAACGGAATGTAAATTTAAGCTCTGCCCCTTAACAGGCTACTTTTTCATTGAGTTTGATTGACGTGGCCACTACATGGCATTGAAGTGAACTAAGCCGAAATCAACACTTCACTGAATGATTACAGTATTTTCAAAATTCCCTCAAATGTGCACACTCCAAAAATCAACAAAATCACAATTTTTGGACTTATTTTGAACTCGTCTTTCAATAATTGAACTTTCAATGCGGACGCTCCGTCAACTATAATGTAGCAGACAGTAGACTATAAATAGGGTGACCTACTTATTGTTGACTGGCTGTTTTCTACGACGTCTCTATTGTTAGTCAGTTCATTAACGTTATGTTCAAATGTTATGTATTTATGCGCCAATTTAGTGACCTACTTATTGTTGACTGGCTGTTTTCTACGACGTCTCTATTGTTAGTCAGTTCATTAACGTTATGTTCAAATGTTATGTATTTATGCGCCAATTATAAATAGGATAAACAGTTTATCGATTTATTAACAGAAAAAACCTGCGTACACTTATGTATGACCCGCTACGTGGATTTATACAGTGTAAACAGGTCTTTTCTGTTCATACATCAATAAACTCAAAAAATGTTCAGGTCATTCCTTAAATACATGTACTTAGTTTAATGAAAGTTTCTAGACATACCTGAATGGTAAGAAAGGGGGATTAGAACCAGCTACTAATGGTTTATAAGCTTCTGCTGGTGTTTTCTTTAAATAAATAATCTGCAAAACAAATTGTGGAATCATTAAAGTTGCCTTTGCTTATTTTTCTTGGTCAAATCATGTTTATTGTTTAATTAATTGATGTACTCTTGAGTGATTGTGTTAGGGTATATTGAGACGAGTCTCTATGTGTGAGGATGATGATGTAGAAAAGCTTGGGATCACTTACTAAAATGGATTGTGATAATCTAGCCACATTTTCGTACAAAAAATTATTAGCCAAACCATGTTTAAAAGACATATTTGCAAGTTAGAAAAAATGTAATTAAATGCTCTATGTATTAAAAAATAAAAAAAACATCATCTTTTTGTCATTTTAGAAACATAACCATTGAAATTTAAAATTTTTGGTTGGTATTTGGCTGTTTTGGTACTGTTCCGCTGTGAAAAGGCACACATAGAGTTACCTCCCTTAAGAAAAGTGTGAGACCTGATAATCTTTATTAAGTGACCACTCGATCATTGGAATCCCCTCATTAGCTAATTACGAGTTAATAATTGACTTTCAATGACATGTATGTGCCATGTAAAATGAAAATAAATACTTACTGAATATGCACCTATCAAAAATGCAGCATTGGCTCGTTTTCTTGCATCAAAACTTGTATAATGGATTATTTTTTTCTTTGCTAAGGAAAATGACTGAAAATTGAGAAGTAAGACATCTTACATTTGCATTAGATCTCAACTTGAGTGATCAATGATCATTCCCAAAAGTTTTAGTGAATATGGTTGCTTTGCAAAATATGCTTCAAATGGCTTTAACAGCATGGGAAGCAGCTCATGTAATATATATAATACAATTTTTATGGGTTGTCCTTATTTGACAATTACAAACTACATGGTGAAATCAACATGGCAGATTTAAATGAACTTACGAAGAAAAGTCTTATAATTTTACTTTAAGTATAAACCATTGGTATTTTTAATATCAAATACAAACCTTTAATTTTTTATTTAATTTACAACAATATCTGTATAACTGGGCTAAATTAAGAGGACCAAAATCTGCATAGAAGTTTTCATACAACAACTCCTCATCCACACAGAAATAATGTGTGTGTGCTGAGGATCTTGGTTTTGATCGAAGGGTTGCAAAATACAATCGATCTGTAAAAAGAAACAAATGAGGAGATCTTACTTAAATATCGAATATACACACTTTCAAGGATTGGTTACAAAAAATCTTTCTATCTCTGAAATCTGGGGTGAAAATTTGGGCTAATTCAAAACTCATTGTTGGTTTTGTGATGATAAACTGAAGGAAACTGCATTGCAGATCTGTCGACAATTTAACTTTGTAATCGAGTTAACTCTCAGTCCACAGATAAATATTCACTTTGAAACTTTATTTTCTACCAACTCTCGGTTCTTCTCGTTAAATTTAACCCTTCAAGCCTAGCCAAGGGTCTATATATATGCCAGTAGATGTTGCTTACGCTTGGGCTTTAAACAGAAATCATAAAAATAGACATGAGTGAGGAATGACAGCTGACATTGCCTATGGCTAAAATATATTGGCTATTTTCAAATATTGTCCTGACAATATTCAAAAACACCATACTGACTTCACTTTCTACCAGATTTTGTTCGCATTTTAAAAAAAATTCTTACCCTTTATAAACTCGGATGCACTGCCAATAACCTCATTGTCATCTGCCATCGTAAGAGGAAGATGAAATTATAAAAATAAAAGTGGCGTTGAACTCCGTGATGTGTTTATTCGTGTTCAAAATTCGTTTCAAATCTTGTCGAGTACACTTTCCAATTACAACAGCTGAACAGGGTGGAAATAATCAAAACTAAAAGATAAAATGCACTCAAATATTCCTTATTGTGAAAATATCTACGTATAAAATAGCATCACCCTGTAGTTATAAGTAAAACGTTAAAATAGAAACGATAAAATCAAAACATTAAAAATAGGTTTTCATTTCAATAACATAACGGCCATTTTGAAAGCAACCTAACGTTGAGCACGTGACACCTTGTCGACCAATCACGTGTCGTGTGACAATTGTTGTCATGGCGATAAGGCAATTGACCAATCAAATAATCAGATAGCACGAGCTGTTTGGAAACTTGACACCACTAAACATTCCATCAAAACATCAGGCACTTGTACGCTATCTAATTTCAGTATCTCTAGGTTGTTACAACAACATGTTGTATGATGCGCCTTACTCTTTTAAATGCCTAGTTTTCTTTCCTTTAAAATAATGACACGTTCGTATCATTAGATACCGACGTTTCACAACGAAAATGAATGTTGACATGCCAATGCACATTAAAATATGCGCGCCAAATTCGATAGAATCACTGATTCAAACTTTGAATAATTTGGTGCAATTAAGAGGCTGGATTTAAGAAATGCTCTGCATGGAACAGTGCATAGATTATTTATTGATTACAGAAAAAGTCTTTCCATATAAAACTCAATTGTAGTAATTTTAGGGTAACAACGTCATCAGGTTGTACATAAAATTAGGTTTCTTCTGGTCATTCTACTGTCTCGAACCCAATGCCTGTGTTTCCTATTATGGCACCAGTAGGCTAATGGTAATAATATGATGAAGCGAAGACCATAAAGCTGTTCTATTCAAAAACGTAATATGTGCACATCTAGAACGAATTAAACCCTTTCCAGATGTAGGAATCACAGGCATTGGGCAATTGAAATTGAGAATCTCCTTCAAATCGCCTATCCTATGAAAAAAAAAATGTATCCTGACCTAGGCCTAGATCCTACTAAGCCAGACGTCCATAATATTTATGAACTTCATGAAGTAAATAATTCGTAGTGCCACTATTGCACTGCAGCCATTTCTGTTTTTTTAAGTCAAGGAGAGAGAAAAAAAAATTATAATGTAATGTGGTTTAATCCATATACTGCACAAAGCAAGACATGATATTTGACAGCCTATTATGATCTGACAAAATTACAAGAACAAACCAAAATGATTATCATCATATTTTGATGAAGTAATGTATCATGCATGTGGTGTTCAGTGGACAAAGTACAGAAGTGTCTTGAGGTTAAGTGAAGGGATTATTACAAAGTCAAGTCAAAATTATACTTTCAGAGGTTACCCGGTACGTAACACATTACCAGTTAACATTGCCATACATGTGTTCTTTTAAAGAATAAACATCAGCTCAGCATAAATGTAATATATGGTCAAGCACATTGGGACGAATCTAAACATTTACACAAAACAGATGGAATCCAACAAACTATGGACTAATCTATGCTTGAACTTGCCAGACATTTTGGATGGGCTCAATCCCACCTTGGTATGGTTTTGTCATTGAGAAATTTTTGCATCAAAAGTTAGATGCTGAAATTGCGTGAAATTTAAGAAAGGAGCAGTTCAGCACTCATGTGCCCCTCACACCTAGGAAAAGAAATAAAAGAAACATCTTAATAACAAAGCCTTTACCATAATACAATAGTTTTAAAACAATAAAATTTACATCTCATACAGTTGACAAATATATACCCTCACATACATACAAACAAAATATATTTTATTATCCTGATATGATTAGGAAATGGAACTTGGGGAAAATTCCAACCTAATGTGTCAATACCACAGGAGTTTTCATGTGGTAGTGGTCATTTACATCTTTAAAATGAATACTTTATTTTCATGATTTTAGACTCCTTTCAACAACTGGAAAAGGTGCAAAATGAGGGTGTAAATTCTTTTAATTCAATCTAAAAAAATATTTTAACTTTATAATAGAAATGTATTGTAGAAGCTGAATTGGTGTTAAATTTGGACCCAGCTTCAAGGGACCACTTTAAAATTAATCTTAATAAATATAGAACAAATTTACATAAAATTTACCCAATTTTCAAATGATAAAATGAAAGTAACCATGATAAATGAAAACATGATAAATATTCATAACAAATAAATTTGACAAGAAGAATTCCTATGTGATACAAATATTTTGTAATAGATACTAATTATAAGGTCAAATTTGGAGCTTAGATGACACTGGTTGATTTAATTCCTTCAATATGAGTTTAATTTGATAATTCAGCAGTCTTTGACACAGTACTCACACTATCTTTAACATACATACATCAAACAAAAAAATTGAACTTTGGGTTTCCACAACTTTTGTTTTCAGCTACTAACTTTTAGCAATTAAGTTGAGATAAAAAGAAATATCCTTAAAATGTCTGAATCCACAAATGTTCAATTTTGATTAGTTTGTCTTTTTACTGCCATCTTTTTTCTTGTCACTTGATTTCTCCTCCTCTTTCTTCTCTGCATGATCTTCATACCTACAAAAGTCAAGTAACGTCTAATCATTCAATAACAACACTTTCATGTTGGACTTGTTCACAAAATCTTTCTTAGTATGTTAAGAATATTATCAATAAGAAAAAACTTACAAAAACATTGCTTTAGCATCTCCTTTGACCAGAGCAACAAATACTGGGATACCAACACAGGCTGGAACAAGGTATAACAATGCAGGCTGAAATTATAAAAGATAATGTTCAAGATTATATTTCAGCAAAAGAAAGATGAGCAGAGTTTTCTGTACATTCATAAAGTACTTTTGTGGGTGTATTCAATTTGAATTTATCAAACCTTTCTTTGACGTCAAGGTTTCAAACTGCAGGACACACAGAAGACACATTTGCTAACACAACATTATGCTTTCTCTGTTCAAGGAATGCATTTTTCTGCACTAATATTTATAAGAATGTGGCGGGTGTGATGTACTCCTTGAATAAATACTACGTTTAAAACAATACTATCTCACAAGTTAAATAAATTGAAACTAATCATTACCTGAGCATGTTTAAAGAAATGCATGACAAAGATTGTTGTTCCTAAACCAAGAATATAAGCAATAAAACCAGCATAGAAATATGTTTTACTTTTAACTTTTGATGAAGAACTGAAAAATTAAAGAACATAACAGTTGTAATTACATAAAACACAAATGTATACTAAATGGGCTGATAGCAATTAAATTCACATTTAGAAGACATCTTGTGGAAAAGCATGTTGGATAGTAAATTTCATAGGATTTTCCTATTTAAGAGATGTGTGGTTTAAGCCATCCTTTATTCTGTGATGTTGTATTAGTTAACTTACTGGTGTATTTGCCACTTGTCATAGTTCTTGTTGACATTCTCAATATCCATTTCTTACATAAATAATATAAAGTAAAGCTGCACCATGACTTACCTCAGATCAAATCTCAGAAGAAGGGCTATAAATATACCAGGTATAACAATATCACCTAAACCTAACATAGCAAAATTATTAGCTGCTAATCCCTTCTCTAACAAATCTTGAGGGAACACCACTGAAAATATATTCATAATAAGCAATTATAAAATAAGGATTCAACTACTTAAATTGAAAACAAAGATATGATTTAAATCTGAGAGTGGAGGTCACTAAAAGATACTAAATATCAAATCAAATATAATTTGTTATGGAAAATTTGCTCCATGCCTGTACACCACCTGAAAGTGTGAAATTGCACCTCTGTATTTTTCTTCCATTATCACCCTAGTCTTTCATTGTATCAAAATATTTAATCAAGATGTAGAAAATTCAAACTTACATTTAATTGGTGCATCAAAGGATTTAGCAACTGTAACCATAACATTGGTACCAAATACCTAACAATAACAATTTTACTATTAATCATTTGCATGTAATGTGAACAGGGTTTGTCTTACAACCTAATTCTAAACAGGAATTTACTCCTGTTTAAAGAGTTCATCTACTTCACTAGGCAATGTTAGATCCAACACACTCGTTAGATCACTCAATTTAGCTTATATTCAATTTCAGGAATCCTTTTCACTAACCACAAGAGACTATTATTTACACTGCATTCAGCAAGGGGGTATAAACTGCCTAAAGAGGAAGAAATCTAGGAGAGAGAAAATGATAATTTTACTTACCCAAAAGATATCATAAACAAAAAGACCACCTAATAATATACATCCAGTACTGACTTTATTTAATGATAAAATTTCTACACCATTAACAGCAAAAGCTAACCCAAACAAATTATTGGCAATCCAATGCTGAAAGAACAAATAAGCAAGGCATACTTTAATAGAATAAACTTCTTTCACATATCACATTTTATTTGCAGTAGTTAGAATTAGTTCCCACAGAGTCTAAAAAGCCAGGTAAAGGAATGTAGCAAGATTTTGAAGAACATAGTATCATTTGTTTTATTAATCATCACATTTATCTTCTCCAAACCAACCCCCAAATTGTCATACTTCTTAGAGACCGTGGTAATACAAGTTAAAGAAAATATGTCTCCATAACTGAACATCGTCCAATCAAAATTGTCCCTGCTGTCTTGCCAACAAAATTTCAGCTTATCCGAACAAATAACTTAGTTTAATACTGGCTAATAAGACGGCTTAACCCATATCAACGATACGATGCCACACATCAAACCTTTTAAATAATCTATATTAATCGGCATGTCATGTAATCAAAGATGAGAACACACCTTTTTAACAAGATACCAGATACCAATAACAGCACAGCCAGCTAAACATAGTATATCTTTACGATCAAACTCATAGTTCATTAATTCTGAAATTTAAAAATATATGGTTATCATCTCTTTATCTAAGCATAGAAAGACCCTATTTCAGTAAAAATTACAATGTAACAAGGACGTTGATAAAATGAAGTGGTTTTAACAAGATTTCTGGTAATATTTTAAAAAGGTTGAATTTTGAGATTTAACATGGAAACAGATGGCAAATGAATTGCCAGAGTTACATTATTATGTAGTGTATCTCAAGCATATAATGCCTTACGTAATATTCCAATCTAATTACAATTAGATTACAATTTTGTATCTTTTTTTTGTTTTCTGATGTATATGTTTTAGTTGTAATCTAACAAGTTTATATGTATATTTAAGCAATTGGGATTAGCAACAGAGCTACTAAGTAAAAACTTCTGATACTTATCTCATATTTTCAAAAAGCCCATAGACATTGCACCCACCTTCTTTCTTTTCTTTAACCCCTTGAGTAAATATAAGATGATATTCTTTATTAGGGAAGGCTTCTGGAATTAACTTAGATACAATAGGACTGAAAGGAAGAATATTTAAAAAATAAATATCACAAGCTTCATAGAAGAATTATTTCAAGTCAAGCCACCAGTCAAAATGTTTTGTCCATGTATGGACTATGATGCTGTCAGTGAAGATATTCAAAATAAAAAAATCAAAGTTCCATATTATAACTAATGACTTCTACTTCCTGGTTTAAGGGATACCGGTAAACAAAATTTAGAGAATATTGGTATGTTTCCTATTTACTGGTATTCGCATGCTTCAAAGAGGTAAACAACATGAACTGCGGGTCTTCTTCACATCACATATTTGTTCAAACTTACCTAGCAATATGGGCAAGAGCCAAAACACCCAAAAAGAAGAAATACACAGCTAACAATAAATTGATATATTCTTTAGAAAATATCTGAAAAACAAGAAAATTTACCGGTATGAGAAACTGGATTTTTTTTATAACAGCCTGACTCTAGAATCAATTTAAGTTAAAGATTTGTATTTTCATCAAAAATGTATCAATACCAACCTGAAAGACTATGTAAATTCCAAACAATGTACAACTGGCAATCACTGGAAACATAGCAGCATCTTTTGATGACATAGTTTCTGGCTTTTCTCCAGATTCCTAAAATATGAATTTCATTGTCATTATTTTGGAATTTCTTAAGAGTTCATTCATGAATTAGCTTTTAAAATAAACAATACCTTTCTGTCAAATTTCCCCAGTAACCTTTCATTGCCACAAACAGTTTTGAAGTTCATTAATTCATTCAAATATGATTGGCTGTAAACATCTTCATATTGTGTTCTGTGACTGTGTGGTCAGACAGAATGACATATGGAAAGAGTAATGCCATATTTACTAAAAATTTATCATTTTGTGAACTAGGCAGTCTATTCTCAAGACCAAAATTCTTTCCAGAATATTTACTTAATGTAAACAAATTACTACAAACTGCGTTTGACATTTTGAAAGTGAAAAAACCATCATCACCATGGCATAAATAAACGGCATAATACTTACTGCATAGCTCACCTTCTGTTCCTTATGGTACTTTACTGAGCGGAAAGAACCAAAAAATATAGGTAAGATGGCCATCAAAAACAAACTCGTGTATGCCATGGCCATTCCTTCGGGAGTTGCAGGAACCTTTGCGGTTCCATTTGCCGCAGTTTCATTGAAAGTTGCATTTATTGTAGAAGCTTGCTCTGCCATGCTGTCTGCCATGTTGATGTTCTGACGTTTACTAGGTAGAGTAGATTATCAAGACACATCCGGTTTCCTCGTCCAATCAAAATTCGATATCCACGTCATCAATGTTTATCACAGGGCACCACAGGGACTCGTCAGATTAATATTCTATTTCACGAGTTCTTTCCCTTTAATCACTTTTTGGTGTACGCTCTAGAATCCATACAAAGCAAGGTTCAATTTTATTGGTAGCCTATCGCATTGTATTTTAAGATTCAAAATGACTCCCTTTGCAATCAAAGATTTCCTTAGATTAGCTATAAAATTTATCTCGACGATAACTCTCTGCGGTCTCTATAACATTGGCAAGATGGATCTGAATTCGACAACTGGAACATTGATGTAAAAAGGGACAGCTGCGCCACACTAAACTTCAAATTCATGTGAAGGCTAACCAAAATTAACCAAGTTTGAAAATTAAAAAGACGAGTCGTCTTTTTTTTCTTTTTTTTTTGAGACCCTGCCATAGCCTAATACAGAAAAGACATCTACAGAAATAGGAATTCCTAGGAATTATGCGATTTTCGTACATTTCTAGTACTTTTGAAGACTATTTACATAATTATTCAAGACTCAATTCAACCCCCCAAAATGGCTCAGCTGTCCCTTTAAAAAAATTGCTACCGAATTTTTATGAAATAGGAATGAAACTTAAACTTGATTAGATAAAACTAAAATTAGGTGTAATAAATTGTTCAATCTAATTCATTTTCATCCATACAGGTCTATTATTCATTTTTTACCTATTGAATTATTTTCCTCTCTATAGTAGCCTATACGAACCTGATAACATGAACATGTCACTTTATTGATTGTGTTGAATTAAAGAAATAATCTGAGAGGTTTTTTTTTTCAAAATGAAATTTGAAGGGTTAAGGTGGCAACGGTATCAAACAGTGGACACAATCTAACCAAAATTGTTTTTTACAGGACAATTTATATTTTAGCAAGTATATACAACCTAGGCAAAGGATGCAGAAAAGTAAGACGTAAAACTTCATTACAATTCAATTCAATGTGATATCAATCTTGTTATCAATATTGAATAAACAATGATACGTCCACAATTTGATCACAAGATAAAGGTTGAATTTCAGTGTAAGATTAATATGCCGATAACCACTGAGAAATTTCAATCCTTGACTAAATTGACACTTTTATAGACAGACTAAAAATTGACAGAGCATCTTAATCGGTTTTGTGAAATAATACACTTTATAGAATACCGTTTATAAGCTTAATGTGTTTTTTATACATCCGTTAAGAAAGTTTATTTGACTATGATGATGAGTCGTACGGCATATTTGAAATAATGGTCACGTATACCCTTAATTTCACTTTCCAATCAAGTGTATATGGGACGAAAGTGCAATCGGATAGGCTGTTGCATCCAGGACGAATTAGAGTCATAGCATTCATTAATAAATAATTGATGAAAAATCCTGAAGCAAGTCATACATAGTAATACCTGACTGGAGAACATATCTCGATCAACAAATGTATTTTGCTATCCTGATAACAATTTTATGTGGACTCTCAGGAGCAAGGAATCAAAGAGGATCTCAAAAACTAGAAAGTGAATCTGGAGCCACAGAAAATTACAGGGATGACACGAAGGATTATTTCGATACCAACAAAGATCTGTCTGCTTCGGATATTAGATTGGCCTTTCAGAACTTTAAATGGACCAGTAGACATGATAAAGAAAAGGTTGGTTATATAAACAATATTGTCAATGCGCAGCTTTTCCACTTCTTCACCACGAAAATTTACTTAATAATATGGTCTTTCTCAAATTTTCGGCGTGATTATAAATTTCTAAAGTTAACTTTTTGTCAAAGAATGAAAAAGTTTGACAGGGTCTTAATATAAATATCTTGTCCATCTACCACCCCAACTTCCCGTCCCCCAAGACCGGCGAAGAGTCGACATTGCTATACGGTGAACCGTTGAAATTGAGCATGTAAAGCAAATATTTAGACGACGTACTTTCAACTCTTCAACTTCTTAAAACATTGGAAGGCTACCACATTCATTTTCAGCCAGTGAAGAAAAATGTTACCCTGAACACCGTGGAATCGTTCTGGTCAATGTATCACCATGGTAACCTTCAGGATGCTTCTGGTAAGAAATAACCTCCGTAAAACTTTTGGAGGAAATTTTTAATTCCATTTTCATAACAAACTCTATAGAGGCATATACCGATAAGTATTTGAAATACAAATTATTTGCATAGGTAGCCTATAGCATATTCCAATATTCGGGCAAAATTCTGAAAGCGAGTATAAGCCAATCTAACTTTCTCACACTCAAAAGTTCACTTGAAGAGAAGATATACCACTAGTTTTCCTTATTCCACTTTGGTCTACATGGTTCCTGCCAATTCCAATGAAGATAGAAATGTATCTACAATGGATATTGAGCATCTCAATTTTCTCTTTAGAAACAACATCCATGAAGCTTAGAAGTTTCTGGAAAACTTTAAAATTTAAAATCGGATCAGGAAGCATAGTTGAAATTGGTGGTTGTCAGACGAGTTTTGATGCTTCTGTAGATACAAACAAAACCGTACTGACTTTACTAACAGGTTAGACCAGATTCTTATATATCTTATCCTGTTGAAACAGTTTATATAAAAATGTTATATCTGATTTCAAATGCATTCTCGCTTCATAAATTGCACAGTCTCAAAACTGAGGATAATTCAGCTAATGTGGTATCAGCATCAAGATGAAGCCATTTGATTTCAAATGTAGCTTACAGGCTATGACGTCATTCTGATACAATGATCAATATAAGCTGGAATTGTTAGCCTGTTGATTAGAACGGCTTCAATCCTGTTTTACAGATAGTCAGACAGTTCTGAGTTGCACTGAGAATAATATTCCTCAAGTAGACAAGAATCAATTTTTGGGGCATGCTAATGTTGAAAATATACAAACATGGACTGAGAAACTCCATACATATCCGGTACGTTACTCTTATAATTGAATCTTTACCACTGAAAAGTAATGAATATTACAAAGTTTTATGGTTTCTCACCAGATGCAAACTCAGGTATTAATGTCGTATCACGTTTCAAGGGGATTTTTTTTTACAAGATAGTTGAATTAGCACTCTTCTGATAGTTATAAAACCAAGATTCTCTATTGTTACTCATCATTACAGCTCACAACATATTTTCAACAGGTCTGTAATTATGTGAAATATTTATCATTTTAAATTCTTAATTATGGACGAGGAGCAACCCTTCACAAGCAAATTGGATCTACATTTCTAACTTCTTATAAATTTCAGATTGTATTTGGCAATGTCATATTGAACAAAGTCGCTAAGTTAAGTGAGAATTTACTTCCTCACGAATTCATTCAATTACTAGTGAGGATATTCTCTGTTTCAAAAGAGATATTTCTTGTTGATTCGTCCATTGATAGCTTAATGGTAAGTGAAAAACATGTCTTCATTTATTTCTTTTTTCTTTTTCACACTTTAAGGACTGACGGGGATTTACAAATCTTTAAGGCAATGTCAACAATATTCGCCATTATTTTTGAAGACTAATGGTACAACTCTTGTACAAATTTTGAAGACTAAAGGGAGATAATTTGTAATCATGATTAAAGCAAGTTGAAATATATCAAGTTATACTGGTTGTTTCAGCAATCATATTTTGAAGCCATTTGGCCAAGACCAAAAGAATTGGTAGAGGAAGTATGTAAAGCTGGTAAATTGATGTGTTATGATATAAAACAGATACAGGTGTGGAATGAAGAGAGATTTGTTTTACAAGTGACCATAAAGAATCATCAGAGACAACTTCACCCTCATTTCTGTGTTCAATATCAACAAGGTGAAGATGTAAGTAGCTCTGGGAATATAAGTTGTTGACTCCCAACTATAATGTTAAATTTGTACACAATTCAATTTGATACCTTAATAAATGTTGTTTTTTTTTTTATATAATTTCAGTGTTATTTAGAATACAGTCTTAACAATACAAAAGTTATCAATCAACAAAATATAACCCTTGTAGAGAATATTAATGATAATTATATACCCCTTGATATTTTACTGTATCATACAGGTTAGTATTGCTTTGTGTTTCATTATCAAAAGAGATTAGGAACGATAATAATATTATGAATTTTGGTTTTAACCTCTTTTATGTAAACCTCATCATATAAAAAAACATGATTCAAAACTTCATTTCACTTGACAAACTCTTTTATAACTTCTATTTGTATTGTCAGCTAAGCCTTTAGCATTTGGGATCTCACGTAATATACAAATACTGAAAATTGATTGCAATTTATCAACAAACAACTGGTATAAATGACTCTTAAAGGGACAGGTGCGCCATTTTGGAGGGGTTGATTTGAATCTTGAAAATATGTAAATAGTCTTCAGAAGTACTAGAAATGTACAAAAATCGCATAATTCCTTCAAAAATATCTCAAACTAGGAATTTTACTCACTATTTTTTATATAGCTCAGATTATCTTAAAATGATGAGTCAACACTTTACCATTCTGGACACAAATGGATTTGAAGGTTCATATTTTGACTTTGAGCTGTTAATACTATTACTGATTGGCTTAACTAAAAGATTCCCGTTTCTGAGACTAAAGTATGATGGCTCAAAAAGAATGGCACGGTTGTCCCTTTAATATTATTAAATGTTTCAGTAATAAGTGAGAAATGTCTAGAAGAATTACTAATAAAGTTATTAAAGAAAGATTTGTTTGATAATGATATTAGAAATATTATGTTAGATGGTGAATATATCACATATCACTCAAATTGGGTAAGTATGATAACAATTTATCACTTGTGTCTGATTCTATTTCCCACAATGTCTAACTGCAAGTTTGTTCTAGAGAACATTTGTTTCTTCACAAAATTTGTGGATTTTTAGTTGATAGAAGTAGAACTATAAGAAATATTAATAAGCACATCTTTTAAGACCTGCCAAACTGAGAATCGTACAATGAGACTAGGTTTTTTGAACATCACTTCATCATGTTGAGCTGAAAGATAATTGGAGATTTGTAAAATAAGACAATGATCATGTGTTTAATCCAGTTCAGTATTTAAGCCTACTTGAAATATCATTGACTTCATATCATATTATATTACATCATTTGACTTAATTCAGAATGGTGAAAGACAACAAGATCATGAAGTCAATTGGGTAAAAACACATGTGTTGAAGAAAACAGGAACAATTAAAATTCCTAATGAAATCATAACAGCAGAAATTAATAAACCTAGTCTTATAAATGATTCTGGTCCACAAGTCAGAACTGGTGTTGGAAAAATACAGCAAAGTTATTACGAAACCATAAAAGATATAACTGATACAGTTTTAACTCGTGAAGAGAAACAAGTCCAACTAGGCTTATTATACTTGACTGAATCTTTTGAAGACCCAACTAGAAGGGCACCAAGATTACGGTATAGACTCCAGGGCATTAAACCAGTAACCAGCAAATCACAAAATAATTTGAAATTAAGGAAAAGAATTAATGATACATTTCCTCTATCATCAATAGTTGAAAAACTCCAGGAAAATAGAGTTCTTCCAGGAAATAATTCCAATACAATTCCACTAAATCATATTGAACCAAACTTGAGGGTTTCAAGGAATAGTGTACTCAATGTATTAAAGAACAAGGTCAAGTTAAGAGAAAAAGATTTAAATACATCACATGCTCCAAGACCCATTTTTAAAAAGGTAATGATCTTTTATTTCTAACATAAACATTTTTTTCTTAGTTTGCAATGTATATTGTCAAGTCGAGAGAAATTTCATAAATAGGAATTTATCTCCCTTTAATCCCCAAACCAACTTTAGTTCAAATTATCTCCCTTTAATCTTCAACTTTCTTCACTCACAACACCAGGGCTGTATTTGCCACACATGTCTAGCAAGACAGCTCAAATTACTAGGTATCACAAGCTTGCAACACTAGAATAGTTACCATTACATAAGTTCCAGCCATTAACTTAGATCAAAATAGAATCTCACCATACTGAATGCAGGCTCGAAATTAAAGATGCAAAAATTTAAAACTAACTGTGCAAATCTTTCCATGATATCTGTTATAAATAGCAGAATTAAAGTATACAGATTTATTGGTTAGCATAATGTTATTTCTATGTAAAGAAAATACATTGAATATTGGCCACTAGATGTGTTGAATTCTGACCTTTTCATTCATACTCTACATATGCTAATATTTTGCACTAGACTGAGGTAATTTTAGAATTAATTCCAGTCAGTTAATTTGAGGACTTTTCTAGAATACTTTAGCTTGTAAACATTTTTGTTTTGGAATGATCATTTAATGATATTCGTTATCTCACGATCTTTTCAGAGAAATTTATTATCAATATCTAAGCATACCAAAAATTCCATCAATAGGTTTTTGAAATCCCGCAAACTTATACCAGGGGGTGAGTAACATTTTAATATAACAATCCACCAACTAGAAATATTCCTTGATTTCATATCACATACTGAATGGAAATATGGCCCTGATGATGTTTCCAATCTAATATTACAGTTAATACATGTATCTTAAGGAGAAATAGTCCTACATCTACAGGTTGTACTCTCATGTCTTCAGCAAGTATTTCACATCTTTTATCCTAGAGCAAAAGGATATTGGTTTTAATATATAAAGAACTGAGATATTGTATGTATTGCATTGTGTGTAATAGAAATTCTTTTTTGTGCATGTTTTATTATATATTTGTGCAATTATTTTGAAGGTGAACGATACTCTAGTCACAAATCTCGAAAGAGCTCAATTACAAATGTAAGTCCTTTATAAGTCAAATTATTTCGTCAAATATACCAGATGGTCTACCCCCAACAAATAAACTGAAAAAATTTCAGATATTTTTATACTCTTCCAAATTTAAACCTAATAAATAGCACAGTTATCTATAGATAATTATATTTTAATGATAAAAAATCTTAAATATATTTCATACAAATATACCTTTATATCATTCATTGATTCCAAATTCCTTTTTCTAGCAGAAAGATTTCCAAAACAGTGGAGAAGAGTTTGATAAGCTATGGTCCATGGTTAGAAAAGACATACCCCATATATTGGGTCACACCAGAAAGAGGGATGTGTTAATCTATGGTATGTACAGTTTTATTAACTAAGGTCTATAGTTAGATGCCCAATATACTGGATCACAATACATTTAGAATTTCTATTTCTTAATATTTCCAGGAGAAGAGGCCTATTGTATGTTGAGTTGTAAACTGTCCATGGTGTATCCTTTAGCTAGTATTATAACTATAGTGCCTCAACAAGATAACTTCAAAAAATGTTTGTAAGTTATATACCTGTTGATGCTAGAAACTGTATTCTAAAGCCTTCAAATTATCCCTTTCAGTCTTCAAATTATCTCCCTTTAGTCTTCAAATTACCCTCTTTATTCTTCAAATTATCTTCCTTTAGTCTTCAAATTATTCAAATCAGTCTTCGAATTATCTCCCTTTAGTCTTCAAATTACCCTCTTCATTCTTCAAATTATCTTCCTTTAGTCTTCAAATTATTCCATTCAGTTTTAGAATTATCTTCCTTTAGTCTTCAAATTATTCCATTCAGTTTTAGAATTATCTTCCTTTAGTCTTCAAATTATTCCATTCAGTTTTAGAATTATCTTCCTTTAGTCTTCAAATTATTCCATTCAGTTTTAGAATTATCTTCCTTTAGTCTTCAAATTATCCCCGTTAATCTTCAATTATCTCCCTTTAGTCTTCAATGTAACCCTTTTATTCTTCAAATTATCACCCTTTTAGTCTTCAAATGATCACCTTTAGTCTTCAAATTACCATCTTCGTTCTCCAAATTATCTTCCTTTAGTCTTCAAATTATTCAAATCAGTCTTCGAATTATCTCCCTTTAGTCTTCAAATTATTCCCATTAATATTCAATTTATCTCCCTTTATTCTTCATTTAACACTTTTAGTCTTTGAAATGTATTCCTATAGTCATTGAATAATCTCCATTTAGTTTTCAAATTATCTCCTTTAGTCTTCAAATAAAATGAATAAATTAATTAATTATTAATTATTTAGTCTTTAATTTATGTCCTTAGTCTTAAAATTATCTCCCATTAGTCCTCAATTACCCTCTAACAAAACACAAGACAATATTATGGAATATAACACACTTCTTTAATAAGGTTGGGCACATAATGTTTCAACACAATATACACGTGTCGTCATCAGAAGTAATGTGCTTCAATTACCCTCATTTTATTTTTCAAATTATCTCCCTTTTATCTTCAAGTTATCCCCTTTTAGTCTTCACCACATCTCCCATTAGTCTCACCATATCTCCCATTAGTCTTACCACATCTCCCTTAGTCTTCAAATTATCTCCATAAGTCTTCTAATTATCTCCTTCAGTCTTCAAATTATCCCCTTTTTTCTTTACCACATGTCCCATAGTCTTCACCACATCTCCTTTACTCTTCATCACATCTCCATTTAGTCTTAACCACACTTCTCTTTCCTTTAGTCTTCACCACATCTCCCTTTAGTTTCACCACATCTCCCTTTAGTTTCACCACATCTCCCTTTAGTCTTCACCACATCTCCCTTTAGTCTTCACCACATCTCCCATTAGTCTCACCATATCTCCCATTAGTCTCACCACATCTCCCTTAGTCTTCAAATTATCCCTTTTTGTCTTCACCACATCTCCATTTACTCTTCAAATTATCCCCTTTTCCTTTTAGTTTTTCTATTTTAGTTTACTTTAGCCTTCATAAATCATATTATTACATAATCATGTATGTTCATTCTGTTTTTCTGTTTAGAAATATGGGGGATAATCTACCTCACAGGTCTAATTTAGTATTTCATACGAAGTTGGACTCTTCACTAATAAACCAAATCTACAGTCTACCTCAGATGTTAGATTTACAGGTATTTATAAGGCTTTTCCACAACGACAGTTTTCTATCCCTTCATCAGGCTAGACCACTTATGCTCTAGCAAAAGTCAGAATCTTTGTTTGAAAAGTTTCAGTTATGAACAGATTCCAGTGATGTGTAGAAAAAAGGGTTTCAAATGAGGAAGATATCAGCAGTTTGTTTTCAAAGAATTCTTCTTGTTTAAGATCTTAGGAATGGACATCTTGACCAATATGATAACTACAGGACATGGTTTTCTACTTTATCTTGGTAAATTATTAACACAAGCCAAAACAACTATTTTAGAGTTACCATCTGTTTACCATCTACAACAAGCACTCGATATTGTTGCACAATTCAAGACAATTGACCATAACAACACTACTGGTATAAAATATTCTGTTCAGGTAGGTAAGATATCCAGAGGTACTAAAATACTTGTAAACTTATCTGAGACTTTAGCAAACTATTCAGAGACAAAGGAAAGCTGGTTCTGAATATATGATAAGATAAGGATTAATTTGAAGACTTATGTAAGTTTGTAAGAATGTGCCACATGAAATAAAGAGAGTGAATTCAGAGACTAAAAAGAATGAATTTATGGACTATATTGGACTAAAATAGGTAAATTAGGCCGTTAAATTGGTGTTGATTCAAGAAACAAAAGAGAAACAATTTTGTAGGTGATTTAAAGGAAACATGGATTTAATGTTCATGTTGTATTTTCTAGGGAATGATACACCAAGCTCTACAGATAGTACAAGCAGATTATTATCCCGTAAAAATCTTTAACAGCAGATCATATAACAATAGCATAGTTCTGATACAGTTGAACTCTTTTAATAAAAAGGTAATAAAGTTCACACTCTGCCATGCCATTATTCCCAATAACCCCTGTATGTCACCTAGTAATTCAGACAGACACTACAAGGTCTTATGATTCTGAAGTAACAAACTTACTGAAAATATAAAAGAAATAAAAATGAAGATCATATTATTTCAACCAAGGGCAAGAATGATTTGACTCTGTTTGCTTGTTCCTGGTTGTGACTCTACACTGGTAATATTGATACCATTAGTTATTGTAGGTTTAATGCATATATATTTTTACTATCAATAGATTCAAACTAACTGCAAGGGTACAGACAGTAGTATTATGAAATATAATTATAATTCTGGTGTAATTATTGATCAAGATTTGTTACAACCTGGAATAAGTCTACAATATATTTTAATTCTGAAACTTCATCCTGTTGCTAGGTTGGTATTATTACTCGTTATAAAATTTCACTCACTCTCACAGACATATTACTAATTATGTTCCTAAACCTGATGGACATGTGACATGTGGGAATACACGTCAATTTGCAAGGAATATATATACATGTCTATATATTGGTTGTAATTCATGTCACAAAAGCTCATTTTGTAGGCCTAGTATTGAACACTGTGAGAAATGTCTGTTCTATGAATCCAAGCTGAGATAATTGGCTACCATTTTGATTTTTTTTTTTCAGAAGTTCTCTGTTTAAGGAATATCTAAAGCTACCAATAATTAGAGATATGTGTCCAATCAATATATTATGGTCAAATCAAACATTAATACATCGACAATTACAATTACAAGTTGATGACATCAGTATTATACAGGTAGGAGTTACCTCTCTTTAATCTCAAGTTAAATTGGAGACAATTCTTCATAATGTTTATGTTCAGGGTAGTTTTCTATGATCAAACTAGAATTAATAAGAATTCTGAAAGCAATGAAAACTATAAGGACCATGAGGGACAATGGTTCACATACATTTATAATATAAATTTTTTCCACATGTATGGAGGATTTAAAAAAAAATTTTGAATAATTCTCAGTGGTCACAATATGATTTTGTAAAATGAAGTTTTTTCTTGCAGCAAAGAGTAGATGATTTAAAATCTGAAATTAAAGATGAACAGTTTCTATTTATAGATTTCAATAACAATGGTAGGTGCTATGAAAGATGATTTAAAAAAAAATTGTTTACTTGATATTATATTATTTGTGTCATCTACTATTCAAGGATGATATTGATATATATTTTATTTAAAGATTATAACAAAATGACAACATAGTTGTAAAATATTTGATTATACAAAATTATTATTAAAGCCCAACGCAGACGAGGAACATTTTAAACGAACAATCGTAAAAATTTTGTTTCGATCATTTTTTCACCGTCTGCAGATTACAGAAACACGAACAAAAATGTTCGTGAGAATTGTTAGTGAAATCAAACATGTTTGATTTTTTTAAAATTGTTCGCCGTCTGCGTTAACCACGAACATTAGCGCCGAAGATTTATCGAAAGACCAATCAGCGATCGAAGCCAGACCACATGACACTCAAAATCGCGACGTCCAGTGAATCCACCAACACAAAATTTTGGACTGTGGAGAAAGAGCAGATTTTAGTAGATAGGTGGTCGCAATTTGCCTGTTTGTTTATGATTTCTTCGCCTGACTATTCAGATAGAAACAAGAAGTACACTGCGATGCAAGAAATAACACAAGCCCTGGAAACAACTGGTAAATTTACAGGGTTGCCAAACACACCCTGCTCTTTACGACGTTGAATCCGGGTACTGACCCAAATGATCCTATATAGCAAACGCAATTTTACATTTTCTTCTGGACATCGCCATTTTGAGGTCATGTGATTTTCCGTGGCACTGGCGTATTGTTCGAGCTAATGTTCGTCGCCTGCGGAATTATGTTTGTCGTCTGCGGATGACGGAAAACAAATATATTTGTTCGATGTTTTTGTTCGTCGACAGAAATGTTCCTCGTCTGCGTTGGGCTTAACAGTGTATATGAAAACGGTTGTTCAAACTAGAACTAATCTTCATATTTTTAGATGAAATAGTCACCAGCCTAAGTCAAGACTATAAAAACAGTACATTTGTCAGTTTGAGAAGTGATAAGATGATGGGAGAAAAACTATACAACAAAACCCAACAAATTGGTATAAATAATATTGCAGTTACCACACAGGTTTTAGATAATGTGTTTACAGATAAACTCCTACATAGTCCTGATATATTCAGATATAGTTATTTAGGTAAGTTATTCCAAATATATTCAGATATAGTTATTTAGGTAAGTTATTCCAAACATATTCAGATATAGTTATTTTGGTAAGTTATTCCAAACATATTCAGATATAGTTATTTAGGTAAGTTATTCCAAATATATTCAGATATCGTTATTTAGGTAAGTTATTCCAAACATATTCAGATAGTTATTTAGGTAAGTTATTCCAAACATATTCAGATATAGTTATTTAGGTATGTTATCCCAAACATATTTAGATAGTTATTTAGGTAAGTTATTCCAAACATATTCAGATATAGTTATTTGTTATTCCAAACATATTCAGATATAGTTATTTAGGTATGTTATTCCAAACCTATTTAGATATAGTTATTTAGGTATATTATTCCAAACATATTCAGATATAGTTATTTAGGTAAGTTATTCCAAACATATTCAGATATAGTTATTTAGGTATGTTGGTCCTGATAGATTCAGATATAGTTATTTAGGTATGTTATTCCAAACATGTTCAGATATAGTTATTTAGGTATATTATTCCAAACATATTCAGTAATTAGATATAGTTATTTAGGTAAGGTTTGTGTTTTTCAGGTAACACAGAATTTTTGGGAAATTTAATGGAGAAAGATAGACAAGAGTTTGATTCTATATTAGGAAATCTTTTATCAACTAGTATCACAAGTTTTTTAGAAATACCATCTTCACAAATTATCTCCCTTGCTACCTCAACGTTCTTTCCTGACTATTTTCCTGGCAGTTCTGATCAAGTAATGTCAATTGTACCTTTATAGATATCATTGGCTACTGTTTGTGCTTGCTATTAGCTGACATGTACTTTACAACAATTTTTAAACATTTTGGGTTGAAATTCATCACAATTTGGACATTAATACAATCAATTCAAATGTCTAATCTTGCAATTGCATACACTGATACTATGCTGATTGGGCCTAACAAATTCAAGAAATTGATAAAAAAATAGTGGTTTTTAACATCAGAGTATCCACAATAAACAGTAAACTAAAGCAGATATCAATAATTTGTTTGTAAAATATACTATGAATAATGATCCTAATTGTATTTTTCAGTCTATGTATCTATCAGACAACCATCCCCTAACAGAATTTACAAATATTGAAACAGACATTATTTATCAGGTACTTATCACTTTTTCAATTGGTATGTATATGAGGAAAAATGAAAAATAATAATGTAAAGGAGATTGCATTAGTCCTAAGAATGGACAAGATTTTAATGTGTGTTGAGTAGTTTTGTGATAAATTGAGAGCAATTTGTAGAATTCCTCTGTCTATGAGGGATGTAACACTAAAATGGTATCTGTCAACATTCAGACTGAGATCAGACAGATGTCACCATACTGCATATTTATGATCTTTTCTGAAAATTTACAAAAGTCTATAACTACACAGACTCATACTGATTAAGTATTACTTATAACGATGATAAGGTTCATCTACAATATGGAAGATGCATTGCTTTCACCGAAAGAGGTTATATCATATTTTATAGATTGTAGATTAGGTTAGGAATTTATTTTGCTACAAAAAAAAAGATATTTGATGGAAGAAAATACAACTTTTTAATCAATTTTGAACACCATACAATATCTGTAAATGAACCAATACTGTCAACTGATCACTATCTTCACTAACACAGGATTGTAAATTCTTAAATAATTTGACACATGTGTCTCTTTCTACAGAACTTAAAAATTGCATACTTAAAGAGAACCTATTGACCTTGGACAAAGTTTCTAAAATACCAATGACCTTGGTTGCATCTTCCTTCTTGAATAAACACAGAGCCTTAAGAATTTCACCAAGTAGTCCAAAACTTATTTCTGTGTGAAAGATTTTGGCCAAATGTTCACTACCAATGTCCATTAGATACGGGTATTGTTCATCTTCAGTTTTATAGAATCTTCTCCATTGTTGTGCAAACTCTAATCCTGATTTGGGAAGTCGTTTTCCTTCCTGAAATATGAATTATCTCTGATCAAAATTAGCATTCACTAATCATTAAAGTATGTATGTGGAGCCTTTGTTATGGAAGTTAGTCTAAGCTATCTAAAGCCATCTTAAATTTTTAAGCTTAATTTTTCTTTGAAAGATTATTTCACTAAATGAACAGAAGAATAATTTATTAAACTTAGTCTAATTACCTCAATAGTGGAATTTGTAGTTGTAGATGTCTCCCTTTTATCTGTGTTTAAAGCCACAGAATTCCACGGTTGATTCATTTTACACTCACTAATTCTATCTCCTTTTTCTAATGGTTTAATATGTGAAGCTAATACTATATCTCGAAATTCATCGTAAGAAGCCACCTTTTGATGAACAGCTCGGAACTTAGCGTCATTTTCTCTGTTATATTTTTCATCTGCTTCTACTGCAGAGTTCAGTTCTTTACCAATTTTTGAAAAGTCTAAATTGTCATCATCATAGCAACTCATTTTCCCAAATCAAATTTTTAATCTTTAAATTTGTCAGTGAAATGTCCACCACTGTCTTCAAAAAGGTTTCTGAAGGAAAAATCAATTGTCAAGGTTAATGTGTGAAAAAAATCCAGCTATTGCTTCTGTTGATAAACTAAAATTTGTTATTAATGTCTTTTTAAAATGACAATGCTCTAAAGGAATACTACCTTTTAGAATGGACAATAAATTGTATGTCTCAAACCTGGTCATATAGTGTATATATTAAAGAACAGAATATCTATATAATTATATATCCAATTAACTAAGTAATTATTCTAAACATGTTTCAAAATTACCTAGTTTAATGAATTATTACTTAGTTAGTTTTATGGAATTATTGGATTAAAGAGGGTTTCTGTTGTAGTTATGACACCAGGTAAATCCACTGATGAACAAAGACTAATATTAACCAAGTTTAAAGAATTTCAATTTTTTTGGTCATCCTAAGATGTAGTATACCTTTAAAAAAAAAGTGAAAACACATATGATAATATATATGTCCATAATTATATTCTTACACTATCATAACTATTTTTATACTGATATTCAAACATTATATAACTGGCATAATTTGATTTCTGGAAATGTTTAATGTGTCTTGGGTGAACTTTATCCACTTGATTCTAATACTTCAAGAAAGTTTCATTGAATTTAACAAGTTTTTTCCTTTTTGTAATGAAAGAATGAGAATATTGAGACTCGTATTACCTGTACTAGCTGTCTTAATCCTACCAAACAAACAGTGATGTCATTATATACAAATATTACTATAAATATGAACTGTTGAGAAAAATTAAATTTATCAGTGGTCAAGATCAGTAATGACTATTTACTAGATCCTTTTATTTATTAAGGGGCTTATTAGGTTTATTATAGACCACAACATGTTAAAACAAATATCATTCAGTTATTGGAAATCTGTATTCAGGTAATATTGATTGGGAGAGTCCAATTTTTAGACTCTACCATTTCATAGAGACTAGTTTATTTACCTGGGCAGTGGGAAAGTCTATTTCTATAATTATCTTACCTGTCCCATTCCTTACAGGTAGATATCGGACTAGTCCAAGCCAGATCACTTCAATCTCAAGTGGTATCTTCCAATTCAAGTCTGAAACTTGTCCATAATCAATAGCTATTGGCTGATTGATCTCTGATCAGTGATTGATTTTGATCGATATTGATTAGTTGGCTTTGTTTAAACTTGTTTGCAGTCTGGTTGACCTGAACTACTAGTCTTTTACAACAGGTTTTTATTGATTTACCTTATCTCATTATTGTGGTAAAGGATGATATATAGTATGACAAGTATAGACAGCCTATACAAGTATATTTGAGAAGATTTTTATCCCCATAATACTTCGACAATAGGTTTTGCTTATAATATAGTAAATTTAAATGACCACCAATTGTGTTTTCTGTATGAAAATGTCATATATTGTAAAAATCTTTTTTTAAAAGCAACTCTGAAATATACTACTCTCTGAATACAATGTTTTCTGAATTGAATTTCGACAATCATTTTCCTATGAATTGAAATACCAACTACAAAATACTAGAGTCTTAGATTGTCTTTGGGTTGATGAAAATCTTAACCACTGTGAAAATATTAAATGTAAAAATGATTTTACAGAAAGTAATTTTCAGTCCGAAAAGTCCGAGAGGAAAGTGTGTTTATTTCAAATGTAAAATCATTGAACCTCATATTTCCATGGACCCGAAGACATTCTAAGACAAATGGCATTCAATGAAAATTTTATTTTGAATATTTATGAAATGAAAGAAAAAATTCAATTCAGAGCTCAATGTAGTCAGACAGTAGTATACGAATAACTAATTATACATTTACCTAGGATATTTATCTCTGTTATTCACTTTTCAAGTAGTTCTGAATTCTGAAATCATAAAAAGGATTGAATCATAGAAAGAAAAAAATATTTGAGTAAGAAAAATACCTAAGAAGTATCATCATCATCATCATCTAACCTTGATTAGATGTTTACCTCAATGGAATCTATGAAAGGGACAGTTCACCATCCACTTGAAAAATAGCACCTTAATCTCAGAAAGAGGATTTTTTTTGCTAAGCTAATCAGTCATAATGTTTAAATTAAAAGTTAAAGTTATGTTCAAATGTCAACTTTTTTTTTTCTTGTACTTCTGAAAGACTATTTACATATATTCAAGACCCAAATCATCACAATGGTGAATCTCTCCCTTTAAGAATAAGATTTATATTTATAAGCTTATTGGTTCTATTGTTCACAAAAAAAAAATACAAATTGTTACCTTGTTACTGCAGAGTGCAGAAGAAATTTTAATGAACATGACTGGTACATAAATAAATAACATGATTTCACTTGTTTAAATATATATAACGAACTCGTTCCAGACAGGAAAAGTCAATACAAAATCATGTTGAAACACAGAATAATCACTTAGTTCATTAGATAACAGGCAATGACTTGACTTTAATAATATACCTAGAGATGTTTCTACATGTAATATCATGTGAGAAACAGACTTTGTTTTGTTTATTGATAATGAAATGTAGCTATTCAAGGTGTACATCTAAATTGGTAGTAAACAAATTTATACCATACTAAGGTCATTCGTATTCTAATTAATGCATAACTATTAAGATTTTATGACAAAAAGCATTAATTACAGAAAAAAATCTTAAGAGAGGGAGTATGTTTCATAAAAAACAGAACTGTGAATAAATCTTTTCTCCCAATGTATGGATTGGATGAATTTCAGGAGAGAATAACCTTTGTTTTATGAACTTAATTAGGTTATATATTTCTATATAAGCATATATATTCAACTCTTCAATACGACAATGATATAGACCTAATATTTCAAAATATACCCTGTGAACTAGCACACACTAGAAATTGAAACAGTTTTAACACTGTCTTGTCATTGTAGCGACAAACTTTATTGTCTAACTAACTTGTCTTCTCTATTTTAACAATTATAGTGAGGTTCAGAAACTGTCAAAATAATGTTAAAATGTATATTTTGCAGAGTGCAAAGGCAGACGTTGAAATAAATATCACAACAGAAATATTACCAAGCATAAATAGTAATAATATAGTGTTGCCATGGAAATTGGTTAGAATTGATATTCAACAATTAAATGTTAAGGTAAATGTATTTTTTTTAATTTTGGTTCCATGTCTAGGAATCATAAAAAAAATGAAGATAAAATTTTGATTGGGTAAATAGAAACTGACCTTTAAAATAATGGCAAAGGATTTCGAAAGAGGTTAAATTAATCTGTTACCCATATTTGAGCTAAAATAGTATTTGAACCTGTGCTCAAATGTATACAGTACAATTTGATTAAAAACACAGATACAGATATTTACTTCAGTTCTTTTCCTGTAGTACTATATTTATCTTAGATCTGAATAAGTTGTCATTAAGATTATATTCAACCAAACCCACCGATTGTCATTCAAACTTTATTTAAAGGTTGGTCACCATTTTGATTTTGAAGAAGATGGACATGAAAGAAGTTATAATCAGCATGTTAAGAGTGAAAATAAAACTCAGTATAATGTTTATTTAGTAAGAGAAACAGACCAATTTGTTATTCCCTTTGGAAATGTTAATGGTGAGGATTTTGTTTTTACTTTGACTCAAAACTAAATTAAAACTTTTCTGATGCTAGAACTGAAACTGGCTTTATGTTGACCTTTTGGTTGGTATTTTTGACAGTTGCTGCCTAAGGAAGAGTGCCCTTGTGACTGGAATAGATCAGTTGTTAGATTGCTGTCTGATAATCTGATAGCACAACCAATGCATTTGGGGACCCCACATTTTATTTCAATCTAATCATTTTTTCAGCAATAACTGTCATAGCTTTACTCAGAATGGGTTTAATAGAACAACAAATAGAATTATGTTATAAGAAATTTCTACACCTACCATTGTATGAGGATATGGCAACATGGAATATAGGTAGTGTATCTAGTATCTAGTTATTTCTAGACCCTATACTTGTGAAGAAGGAAATAGAAAAGAAAGTTCCTTTTATATAAAGATAAGAAAATGTGTCTTTTTCAAATATATCTTGGAAAGTTTCACATGAATTGTGAATACAATCAAAAGCCATAATTTCCTTGACATAACCAGACAAATGATGTCATAAGATTTTAAGCACCCTCACTGTCTGAGCTACAGCCTGCCTCTGGATATAAATTTATCCCGTTAGAAGGATGATTTTTACTTGCTTATAAAACTGGAATCAATTGGAACTTATACAATGAAATTTTCATTAAGCTGAAGTTTTGAATTTCTAGTATTCCGTCATGGTAATTTGGAATATATAGATTTTGATACCAAAAATACATTCTATGATAAAATAGTTCCATCAGCAGCTCAGGTAACCATTATTATATTATATTTTTTAATTGTGGTATTTTAATTTGTATTCATCTTCAAATCTTCAGAATTCAGTTTTAGATTAAATCTGTCTCATTTTTTTTTATTCACTCACTTCTGGTTTATGTCTTTTTTCCTAGAATCTTTCTAGTAATTTTAAATTGTACCAGTATCTAAAGTTGTGTGTTTATGATAATGTACTAACAGATGAACATATGCAACGTTTCCTAATGACTCTTTATTTCAATTTCAGATAATTGCAGTATTAATAAATTATAAAAGAACACTGTTAGATCTTGATAAATGTGGTGAAAAAGCAGAGTAAGTTTTTTTATGTTTTGTGAAAGAATTCTGATTTCAAAAGATTTCAGTTGGTTTCAGAAAATTAAAAAAAAAATGCAGAAACAGCTGGGTAATTTTTGGGACTAAATGACCTCATAGTAATGCTGCGGACAAATATATTCGAAAAGACAATTCTTACCTTGATTGGTTGTCGGTGATATCAGTTAGCTGGAAACCTATGTTAATTTGTCATCAACTAATACCAAATAGGGTAATATATAAATATTTAAGATGAAAAATGCCAAGTTAGCAAACTGACAATTAATCAACTTTGAAAATATTACTAATCAGATAAGCAATTTGACTCTCAAAATAATTGACCTAGGATCAGCAGGTAGACAGGATCAATGTAACTGATTACTGGACTAAGAGTTATTAATGTAAATTATGTATATTGCTAAAAATATCTTCTTTCTTTATTTATGTCTCTATGTGTTTTCATCTTACAGAACTAGTTTAGGATTCAATTATATATCAGAATGTGTTGGTAGTGAGTTTAATGGACCCTGTCCAGTAAGAACATTGTATTTATTATCAATATTAATCACTCTTAAAATATCTTTCATATAACAATTAGGTTTATAGGTACTTTTAAAAAAAATTCTTTCACTGAAGAGTTAAAAAATGTTTTGAATATGTTTTGTTATTGCATGCTTATATTTTGATATTTAAGTGAGGTTCACGAGATCAATGTGGAATCAATGATAAAGTATTAAGTATTGCTTTGTTATCATTTAGGATCTGGCCTACCAAGTACCTTGTGGTGATCATACTTGTAGATCTTCTTATATTGACTGTCTTCAAGCATTATTAGCCTACAACAAGCATCCTGAAGTTAAAGGGAAGAGTTTACATCAAGACAAATATTCACAATGGGTAAGTAGCTTACTGTGTCCAATTAGAAATATTTAGTTATTGGTCTGGGGCAAAATTCTCCAAGTCTCAACTAAAATAAAATCCAGATTTTAATAAATACTGTAATCTGATTGGATAATAAAATTAATCTGAAATTAATCTAAGCGATTGACCAATCAGATGTCTGGAATACTAAAATCATCTTAAATTAAGTTTTCAAAAATAAGGGCCCTGAATGGCAGATCTCATTTCAGTTTGGACTCTTGTCTATCTATTACTTACATAGTGACACTGGCAGTGGTGGCTCAGTGAGATAAACAAAATTGCTATCTAACCTGAAGATCTTGGATTCAATTCCACGGAATACCTTCAAATTTATACTTGATTTCCTCCATTTTGTTTAGAGGAACAATATGTTTCCTACTATATGCTTGAAATTTGAGTATGCTGTCCAGGCAAAATTTACCTATCAGCACACTGAATGGTTTTGCTTGTCTTAATTAGCCCATTTGGGTGCATACAGGTTACCAGGTTTCATTTTGAACTACATGTACCCTATATAACTCATCTTATATTGAGCTAAATCTGAAATCACACTTAATATATCTAAATAAGGAAATCATATTAGAGGTGAAATGACTCTAGTTGTATACAAAATAGACAATAACGTTTGTTGATTTTTGCTTATTAGTATTTAAATTTTTCTAATTTCAGTCTTTTAATAAATTGGGTGCTATTAAAAGAAAGAACAAATTAATTTGAAAATTAACTGACGATGTCAATTGATGTATTATCGATTAGTGAGCTCAAAGTATCAAATCAAAAAAATTACTATTGGATAAGCTTACACTTTATAACCATCATTCTTGAGAATTCCATAAGTAGTCTACATTCTTCAACACAAAAGAATTCCACAGATACCAATAAACAAGGTCTGATCGTGTTAGAGGAATAATTTTTTTTTTCATTATCAATGACTTAGATCAGCATACCAGTACAGCAGCCCTCTTACAATGTCTTGTGTTATTTTATGAATTTTTACATAATTCATGAGGCCTATATATATCCTCTCATGACTTGTGTTTATTTATTGTGTTTGTTATTGTATGTTGCTAAATACAAATAAATGTATGTCCTAATACATAAATATAAATATTTATAGCTAACAATATCTTATCAATAATTTCAATAAAGAAAGTGTCCATCACTCCATGTGCGCAGTTTCTTCTGTAGAAACTTTCTATACCGGTAGTAATTAATGCATTAGTATATGGTAATGTTATTGTCTTCATGCACAAATGAGAAAAGTAGAATAACAATTTTTTATAAGCATATTCAAAATGTTTGATTTTATGGAGTTCAATTAGTTTGCAGAGTAAGAAAAATGTAGCCCATGTATGTTGGTTTACGTCTTGATAATCAAGAGTAATATCATTAGAGGGAGATAACTACTTAATCATTATTTCTCCAAGTTGTTTACATATCACTAAGCAGTTAATTTCGTCTTTTCCTGGACACATTAGTGTACAAAAATCTGAATATAAGACATTTTATAAACAACAACATACCTCTCTTATGGGCTTTAAATTTCAACCTAAAGAAAAAACTCCTACAATAGAAGTTTTCAATATAAGAATCGAGTGTGGCGGTGCTGGAGAAAAAGTTTCGAAAAATAATAACTTCCGGGACAGTTCGTACAAAATGGAATACAGGATGGATGTTTCGTATTCACAATATATTTTTAGAAACAGTCTCTTAACCCCACCCCACAGAAAACTCTTCCATGGAGAATGAAATTTACCATCAAACAACCAGCCTTATTTAAATTCTGGAAACTTCAGACTAACCCCAAAAAAAAACATTTATTTGATCCAAGTCCAAGTAACATATTCTTACAAAGTGGGCGTGTAAAAACTGTAATCTTGCCAAATAAAATCGCGTCAAAATTTACTTAGTTAAGGGCAATAACTCAGAAATCGTTCTCCCGATCATTATCAATTCCGAACTTGACCGAGATCTCATTAATATACCAAATTTCATCAAGACTGAGTAAAAACTGTAGTTTCGTGCCTGCAAGAAATGTGGACCGACAGACAGGGGCGACGGCAATATACGTCCATTTTCCATGTAGGTGTATAAAAACCTTTGACAGTACATGTACCTTTTTTGTGAGGATGGGAATTTGAGTTTGATCAACTCTAAATATATTTTGTCAATAAGTAGGCCTATTCAGTAAAATTTACAAAACAATATTAATTTATTAACTATCGTGTCTTGAACAGATCACATAAAAACAAACAAACAAACAAGCAATAAACGAGAAGATATGAGTATTTATATACTTTATATTCATAATCACCTGACAACGAGTTGTCTGCAGATAAAATTGCTGATCATACCTACATTATCCGACTCCGACAGATGGCGTTGATTAAATTATCGTCTTGGGTCAGAGAGGATGTAGGCCTACCAATTTAGTGGAGTTAGAAAGGTTCCACAACTCGAAGAGATTAGACCTATAGATAGTTTAACATAAATGTCAAGCTCAAACGACCTCCTTGATTACTATAGTCGTCTCGACAGAAAGTCTGTAAACACCAATCCATAATATTTACAGTCATTCTGTCGAGGGCTCTGGGTGGCTATATTCGCTGGCTTAGAATCCTATCAAATCATTGCATTCCATGATACAAGAAAGCTGGCGATTGCAGTCAAGGTATAAGCCGAAGGTCATAAAAGCTTGACATTCTGAAAGTGGGCAATTTGGTGCTATTACACAATACTAAACAAAACAAAAGTAGGCTACATATTCATTGAAAGATGACCGATGTAACAACCCAATTTAGATGGCCGTAAATCTAATTCCATATCGAGCTATGTTAGGTTTCAGTACGAGATTTCGAGAGATGGTTGTAACTTTCTCAGCTATTACATAGGTATTAAATAGTAGAGTCAGAAAAACCTCCCCAAATGCGTTTTTTCTAACATAATATGAAATCACCTCTACGATGTGATCCTTGAACCTTTAGCTGCACACACACTTAAACTGGTCAACGAAAGATCAGTTTCGTCAAAACAAACTTTGATGAAAACTCAGACACAAATCGTAATGGTGTAGGGAGATTATGATGGTATGATTGTACTAGGCTACAAATATTATCAATCTTTCCGAATATATTTAGGTTTGGCAGATCTGATTTAAATAAATAGGTTTGAAACCCCCTGGACTTTGGAGGTGCGGAAAAATCTCTTTAAAGCAGCGTCTATTTTCTCTGTCTCTACACCAGTCGACAACTTTAAAAACAGCTATCAGAGGCTGGAAAAGACGCAGATATTTCGGTCTATTGCACCATGCATACGCATGCAAGTTTAAATTGTCTTCCATGTTCCAAGGTCCAAGGATAGTCAAAATTAAGGGACTATACACTATAAAGACAATCGGTTGATTTGGCAAATGGCGGTTTTTACAAATATGACTAAAAAAAAATCCCATGCAAATAAACAGTCATCAGATTCAACTCACAGAATCTTTTGGATCTTCTTTTTTTCCCCTACATCACACTTTTCACAGAGAGGCCCGTTCAGCGGACTGTGGCATAATTCTGTAATGGAAACCAATTCATCTCTACTTCTTCAAGATAGGTAAATCGAGAAATAATACCAAATATCCTAATTAGAAAATACTAATGTGGTGATTCAAAGGTTCTGATAATGTCATGGCATTTACTCGGAAGAATTCCAACATACAAAACGTAAAACTAACTAACGTTGTAATGGCGGACAAGATGGCGACGATAAAGGACCAACCGACAGAAAATTTTCCCGAAGCATCAACACCAGCGATGAAATAGTCAAACAATTTCCTTCGATCTCGTTTAATATCGTAACAGAAATCTCCACCTTTTACACCAACTACTATGCTGGCCATGATCGTCATACATCCTGAAATGAATCAATTCCATTTAATGTGAATATTACTATATGCAAAGCTTTTATGGAAAAAATGAACCGATGTGTTTCTTTATGGCAACAAAAACATTTTCTGGCTCTGTTATGGCCGATCTGTGTCAAAACACTGTACCATCCAGATCAATACTTTATAGCCCGGATTAACTGTGTCCTGTATAGCCTACTATATGGTGAACATTGTATTCTCACCTGCTGAAAATATGAGCAGACACAAAGCTATAATTAAAGCCCTTGTTTCTTGTAATTGTCGGATAAATATGTAAGATATGATAATAACTGCAGCTATCACATAGGTCAATAAACCAACAATACAAAAACCTTGTCCAGCTCGTATGAAATCTGAAAAAAAGAGGAAAGATTCATTACGCATGGTTTGGCAGAGAAATTCTGTTCATAGTTATGTATAGCATAATTTGATATGAAAATATCGATGCCGAAAAAGATGGTAGCTAGAAAAAAAACCCTCTTTGTCACATGATAACAGATCAATCCGACTTTCAGACAGATTGACAAGCTACATAAAAACAAATCCAATAATTTAGTTATAAATAAAAAGGGCCCTATTTAATCAAAAACGTATCTTTTGTAACGATAACTTACTTGGAAAAATTGACCTTTAGTTATTACACTTACAAACTCAAATGTGAGCAACTAATCCTAAAGGTACTCACCCGGTAGTTTGTCCTCCCAGTATTCACAAGACCAGATACTAGTCTTAAAATTCTGAGAACATTTCTGCCACAAACTAACTGTTATACCATTTTCTATTCCGAACCATTCGGACGAGCTGAAAGCCACAAGAAAGAGGACAAATCCCAGCCAAAATGACACAATACATGCCAAACTTTTAAAAGACAAGTTCGGTGATTGACTCTCCATCATTCTCAATCTATCACTTAATAGGTAGGCATTGATTGGCTTAGAAGACATCATCTTCACTTGGTTGAGAAATGTTACATTTTAAGGAATTACTTGCAACCACATTGTTGACTACTTTAGATAGCTTGGCATTACATTGTTGCGCCTGAAAAATAAATCATTTTTAGAAACAAAAGGACTAATATTATAGTCATTATATGATTATTTCAACAAAATCACTTCAAAATCCAGATCAAATGATCATTGCCAGTATCGATATCAGTTGGAATTCAGTTTGGGCTTGTAGCATATCCGTCAAAATGAAGTGATATAGACCTGAGATAAGTCACTGGATACTTATCTTAATCTCACTTTCATCAGAGTAACATCGCAAAAAAATCTATCTTGAAAATTAAGCTAAATTCCAGTGCGAATGTCGACAAAATCCTATTCTGTTAAATGTAAAATTAGTATTAATTTACTGTAAAGTTTTAAATAATTAATAGCATCAGAATTAACTCTACTGCAAGACCCGAAATTCTTTTTGCCTTAAAATGTTTGTGTTTCAGCATAGAAAATTATCACAGTTATCTATGTTCCATAAAGACCTATTCTGACTTATGTGGAAGGTTTGTGATTTCTCATTATTCTTAGCTGATAGAACAGACATATTATTAATATTTATGGACCGAGTTCTTCTAAAGTAGATATAAACCGAATCGTGAGGCTGTAGAACTTGACCATTAACTGAAGGAAACCAATAGAGAGGTCAACACTATAGACAAATGAATGGAGAACAAAATAAATCGATATTTACTGGACACTCAAATTAGCGCTAGAAATGATGAGAAATGTGAACTCAATCATCAAATGGGCTGAGTAAACATGTTTTTAAATAGTTAGCCTAAATGAAAACTTGCATTCTAAATTTTATATAGTGATGTAGAGCGCTGACCTGATGGAATGCATATTACACATAATTATTATATCATCGTGTCCAACAAAATGAAAGCAGCGTGTCATTAAATGATTTGATTGATATGAACGATACAAAATTAAGTAAGCTATTCGGTAAGGAATTGAAGCTGATAGAAAGCAAACCTTTAGAATATGGTGGAAAAAATGTATTCTTCTATATATTTAAACGAGTGGCGGCGTTTTCTTTTCCAGACCTTCATTCCCGTTCTACCGATGTGATTGGTCAGAATAGCCCCAATTTCATTTTCACAAACCAAAGTGCAGAGGGCTTAGTTTAATACGGGTTAATAAGACCATGTCAAAACCCGTATTTCGGATACGATGATAATATATACAAGACAATATTATTTACTTTCCTTTCATACCATGTTATTAAAGAATAGCAAAACAAACACATTGTCAAACAAGCAGCAAAAGACCCCTTTTCACAGAAAAACGTTAAAATCTATAGCAGTCATGATTCTAAGTGATTATTACTATTACTATTATCACTATAATGATTATGACAGATTCATGCAACAATCCCAAAAGAAAGGTTGATAAATCCAGAAACGACGAATAAATGGAAATAAAAAAAGAGAAGATTAAAATCAGGAAAAATAAATAGAGGGAATGAGGATCTATTGATGTTTCTATAATGAAATTGATGTATGAAGGGAATGTTTTCTTAATATTGAGAACTGAATCATGATAGTACGTATGATGGTATGACAGATATTGTACTTGGATAAACGATAAAACGTTATAAAAGGACCAAACTCTAATAGAAGTGAAATATACGGAGCGTAGGCCTTTATGTTCAAATAGTGTTTAATATCATAGAAATGTATATTGTACAAAAATACACAGATGTGTAGATAAACGAAGCATACATGAATTTCATAAGCCAATTATTCAGCTCCATCTGGAAACATCAAAGGTACATGCTTGCACGACAAATCTGGCTCTACCAGTTCCTCAGACGGGTTATTGCCAGGTTAGGTACATGCCAAAAGAACCTATCGTATTCGAAAAGTATATAGTCCGGTTAAATAATGTAACATTTAACAAGCAATATGATTCCATGTAGAATAATTTGGTACAAGATGATTAAACTTAGTAGGCAGTCAAGAAATAGTCTAAATCTACCAGAATAATCAATAGTATGACTTTATCTTATGATATAACACATTATAGAAATTGATTTAAACCGTCCCGCAGACTAGTTTCTTCAAATTATATACTTGGTTGGCTATATGGTCTATAAAAAAACATTCTTGGCATAAATTACAGGGAACCTATTATTGAGTAAGCTTGTCCATATCGGAAGTTAAATCTGAAATGTACAATGGTGAGACATACTTCACCACAACAACAGAAAATGCAAGTAATGCACATAAGTGACAAAAGGTAACATTGCTTTGTCAAATCTGTAGGAATATTTCATGATCTTTCTGTCAAAAAATGCCGAAAATGACACGAGCTTTGGGGAGTCAGTTGTCGGCCACTTCTATTCAGAGAACAATTCTTTCGCATATTTTGCTATTACGCTTATAACCGGATTATGTATCAAAAACACGTGTCGGCTCGCGATAATTAGAGTACATGGACTGAAAACTGCTGCATGTACATAACAAAATTAATATAGTTATATAATGTTTATTTATAATATCCTGGTATATATTATCATGTCAGGAATAATCCTAGTATAATCACCATTTAGTACCGACTGTCAACAATATTACTTTCATGCTATTTACTAGAAATAAAGTAATTAAACCAGCGAGACAAAAACAAAATCTATGATAAACCTATATTATATACACTAAGCGTCTAATCATCATGGATACTAGAGAACATACAAGCTTCATCATACCGAGTTCGAGGATTTCTCATCTGCTGTAAACATGAGCTCAGTCCAAATACAATGACATGCAGTTTATCAAACCACATCATCCCTGCATCAAATGACATAAAAATTGATAAAAAAAAATGCTGTCATACTTACTATTCCAGTGGAGTTAACATCGGCATCAACCGCGTGCTGAGAATACAGTCACGTGATATAACACCAGATTATATATCGGATCGAAGGAAAATCGAACATAGTTTCCTGGAGAAATTCTTGAAGAAAATTTACCATTTAAGTAGTTACAGCGGAAATAGATCATTAGGCTTATTGTGCTTGAAAGTTTTTGTTGGTTTAAAATGAGAATGATTTGAAGCATGTTTATATTGATCAATTTAAACAACCATGGTTGCCGTTTAACGTTTATGATTGATCATTTTCGCATTTTTATTTGTCAATATTTAGCAGAAACACCTCATATCAATCTTTGAAAGTGTTTGTCGTATTTTGTCGCTCCAACTTGCAGGGAGGGAATACCAACAAGTTCCTGAGCTTCACTTATCTTTGAAACTGCTACCAACCCAAACTATCCCTTTAATTCACTCGATATCGCTATATATTTGACATCTAGAAAATTGATTTTCATTAGAGGGTGCTAAGGGAGACTCTGCGACTGTCGGATAACAACTGGTGTCTAGTGATTGATGGCACCTAACTTTACATTATGATATTGATGACTGGTGTCCCTAACTTTACATTATGATATTGATGACTGGTGTCCCTAACTTTACATTATGATATTGATGATTAGCGTCCCTTACTTTACATTATGATATTGATGACTGGTGTCCCTAACTTTACATTATGATATTGATGACTGGTGTCCCTAACTTTACATTATGATATTGATGACTGGTGTCCCTAACTTTACATTATGATATTGATGACTGGTGTCCCTAACTTTACATTATGATATTGATGACTGGTGTACCTAACTTTACATTATGATATTGGTGACTTGTGTCCCTAACTTTACATTATGATATTGGTGACTTGTGTCCCTAACTTTACATTATGATATTGATGACTAGCGTCCCTAACTTTACATTATGATATTGGTGACTTGTGTCCCTAACTTTACATTATGATATTGATGACTAGCGTCCCTAACTTTACATTATGATATTGATGACTGGTGTCCCTAACTTTACATTATGATATTGATGACTGGTGTCCCTAACTTTACATTATGATATTGGTGACTTGTGTCCCTAACTTTACATTATGATATTGATGACTAGCGTCCCTAACTTTACATTATGATATTGGTGACTTGTGTCCCTAACTTTACATTATGATATTGATGACTAGCGTCCCTAACTTTACATTATGATATTGATGACTGGTGTCCCTAACTTTACATTATGATATTGATGACTGGTGTCCCTAACTTTACATTATGATATTGATGACTAGCGTCCCTAACTTTACATTATGATATTGGTGACTTGTGTCCCTTACTTTACATTATGATATTGATGACTAGCGTCCCTAACTTTACATTATGATATTGATAACTGGTGTCCCTAACTTTACATTATGACATTGATGACTAGCGTCCCTAACTTTACATTATGATATTGATGACTGGTGTCCCTAACTTTACATTATGATATTGATGACTAGTGTCCCTAACTTTACATTATGATATTGATGACTGGTGTCCCTAACTTTACATTATGATATTGATGACTGGTGTCCCTAACTTTACATTATGATATTGATGACTGGTGTCCCTAACTTTACATTATGATATTGATGACTGGTGTCCCTAACTTTACATTATGATATTGATGACTGGTGTACCTAACTTTACATTATGATATTGATGACTTGTGTCCCTAACTTTACATTATGATATTGATGACTGGTGTCCCTAACTTTACATTATGATATTGATGACTGGTGTCCCTAACTTTACATTATGATATTGATGACTGGTGTACCTTACTTTACATTATGATATTGGTGACTTGTGTCCCTAACTTTACATTATGATATTGGTGACTTGTGTCCCTAACTTTACATTATGATATTGATGACTAGCGTCCCTAACTTTACATTATGATATTGGTGACTTGTGTCCCTAACTTTACATTATGATATTGATGACTAGCGTCCCTAACTTTACATTATGATATTGATGACTGGTGTCCCTAACTTTACATTATGATATTGATGACTGGTGTCCCTAACTTTACATTATGATATTGGTGACTTGTGTCCCTAACTTTACATTATGATATTGATGACTAGCGTCCCTAACTTTACATTATGAT